ACGCCAACTCGGGTGAGATAGACCATCTATTCCAGTTGGAGAGTCCAGGGGACTACATTACGTCACTGGCTTGGCTTAAAGACGCCGATGTTCTCGCTGTCGGGAACTCCTTGGGCCAGGTTCTGGTAAGGAAATACATTTTTTTTTTATCTCTCTCTGCTTTTATATAGCCCTCCCCTTTGTATGTCTACTTTTTTGTTTATTCAAGTTCAAGTTCAATTGTTATTTCAATTCTCCCCCTCTCTCTCTCTTTTCTCTCTCTCTCTTTCCTCTTTTGCTCTTTACCTCCTCTCTCTTTATGCTGCTCTTTTTCGCTCCCTCCCTAAAGCTTACTCTTTTTCTCGCGCCTGTCCCTCGATCCCCCTCTCTCATTCTTCATTCTCTCTTTTTTCCCCTCATCAACTCTCCCACTTGTGTCCCCTTCTTTCCCTCTTTCTCTTTCGTATGTCTTTTCCTCTTCATTTCCCCCACTCTCTCCACCTCTCTGTTTTACTCATCTTCTCTCCGCGCCTCTCAATTTCACTATATTGATCACTTCCACTAAATTGTCAATGTCCACCCCCTTCTCTCTAACTCTCTCTCTCTCTCTCTCTCCCCTCTCTCTCTCTCTCTTTCTCTCCCCCTCTCTCTCTCTCTCTCTCTCTCTATCCCTCTCTCCCTCCCTCCCTCCCTCCCTCCCTCCCTCCCTCAGATGAAGGAGGTATCTTTTAGAAATAAACGATAGCAATTAACTGCTTTCCGAAAATCAACCTTAAACGCAATCTGAATAGCCTTGTGCGTGACCTTTATTAATGTGCGAACGTGACGATGACGTCCAAACATGATTTCTATGGAGGATAGTACAATAGGGTATCGGAAATTAATCCTAGAGTCCATTTTTCGAAAATAGTTGCGATAATCTTAAATATAATTCTGTATCATCATGATCATTGTCCTTATCTCCATGCAGCTCTGGGACGTTGTGAAACACAAATGTCTACGATGTATGGAAGGTCATCCCACTAGAGTTGGATCGCTGGCCTGGAATTCTTATATTCTATCCAGGTATATAGGCCTATGATATGTTTCCTCATGAAACAATTACATAATCAATCGAATTCAGATGAAAATAAAAATATATGACCAAAATAATAATTATAATAATAATAATAATAGTAATAATAATTACATGTATAGGGCGCTTTATATAGACGTTTTTAAGCGCACATGTGGTACTGTCTAAATTATAATTATGCAACATATTCAATACCTGAAAAGCAACAAAATAAAATAAAATATTACTAATACAATACAATACAATTGAGTTGAATGGAATTAACTACTTGTGTGCACCTCCATTAAACTATAACTGATTAAAAAGGTGGGTTTTAATGATTCAATCGATAGGGCATTATGAATATGTGGGAGTTTGTTCCAGAGGGCGTGGGCAATCGATGAAACGACACGGTCACCATAGCGGCAATGCTATACAAAGCCATATGTTGGCGTAGGCAAATAACAGCTAGGAGCAGGAGACCCCTCCCCCCCCCCCGCCCGCTTGGTTCCTCTCCTCCTATTCATTCATTTATGCATTCGCCACTAGCGAACCACAGGATCAAACAAGGCGCTATGTTAGAAAACAATCATTATACACCTGTAAAACTCTAAAAATAACTAAATAAGTAACAGGACATATATATATATACTTTTTGGTCCCAAAAAATTATTTTTTTATTAAAAAAAAAAATCGCAAAGGGAGGGGGCGGGGGGGGGGGGGTTACTCCAAAACATACACATACAAAAGTCAAAGGGGGGATCAACCCCCCCCCCCCCCCCCCGTGTACGCGCCTGCCCATGGCTATTGGCTATTTATTTCCAGACATTACTCAGCTTGATTTTGATATAGTACGGTCTATCACCATCTCCCCTCTGTCGAATGTCCAAGAGGAGTCAAATCATGCATTGCAACAAGAAGTTTGAGTCATATATCCAGGAGTCCTTTCCATTCCGTGTATTTCATTTCAAACGGCTTCCTCGTATTTGTAGCAAGATAAAACTAAAGCAAACTTATATATAAGCTACAACTGCTCCTTTTTATAGATACACGTCCTAAACAATAGAACGAATGACAACAGAGGCGATATCATTAAAGCAACACTATAGTCGGTGAATGAAACGGATGGAATTTAAATGAACAAGGCCATTGATTAAAGGGAGTATGCCCCCCCCCCCCACTCCGGGGTCGGAATGACCGCATGCGTGTTACCAAAATGTCCGGTAAAGGGGTATTTTTCACGCACCAAAGTCCGGCTCGTACATACACAAAATTGACTTTACACACCGGACTTAGGGGGTGTTTTCAAAAGGAGGGAACACGCATATGCGTACCCTAAATAACACCGAGTGGGGGGGGGGGGGGAGTATGTAGGAAGTAGCGTTCTTTTTTGGATTACATTTTAGGCTCTCCCTTTCTCTCTCTCTCTTTTATTTGTTTCTATCGTTTGTTTTATTGTATCTCGAGGGGGCATTCTCCCCAATTCCCCTGTTTGTACACCACTAACTTCCCGCTACACCCTTCACTTTTTCTTCTATGAAGTGGTGGACGATCAGGGAACATTCACCACCACGACGTCCGAATCGCCGAACACCTGGTAGCATCGAACGAAGGCCACACCCAAGAGGTTTGCGGCATAGCGTGGAGTCCCGATGGAAAGTATATTGCCAGCGGCGGGAATGACAATATTCTCAATGTATGGGACTCTACGCGAGCCATGGCGGGGTCGGAACCACTCTACTCACTCACACAACATCAAGCTGCTGTCAAGGTGAGATAGAATGTTTCTTTGTTTAGTTGTTTATTTGTTTATTTGTTTATTTGTTTAGTTGTTTATTTGTTTAGTTGTTTATTTGTTTTGTTTTGAGTTTTGTTTTGTTTTGAGTTTTGTTTTGTTTTGTTTAGTATAGTTTAGTTTAGTCCAGTTAAGTTTAGTTAAGTTTAGTTCACGGTTTAGTTTAGTTTTGTAAACTTTGTTTTGTTAACATTGTTTTGTTTATTGTCTTGTTTAAGAATTCCATTAAAATATATTTGTTGACAATTACAATATTGTTCCCATGATCGTTAATTTTCAAGTAATATGGATTTTTCTCCCCTAACCATGTTGTGTCCAGTGTGTCGAGAATTGAATGATTTTGTTAATAACACTTCATTTTCTGCCTGTATTTCCAACAAATGTATACACAAAAAGAAGAAGAAGAAGATGCATGATACGTAGATGATATAACAATCATTTTCACACTTTTTGATTTAGGGGTCTCTTACCACAGCTTGCTCTTAATATAATAAATTTGATTTCCAAATACATTTTAGCCTACGATCATGTGTATGAATGTATGTAGGCCTACATTTACATTAATTAATTTTACATTAATTCGGTAATTTTCAATTTTCAAGTAAAAGCTGATAAATCTTAAAATCCTTCCATTGGTTAGAATATTTTTCTTTCTTTGACCCACAGGCGATCAGCTGGTGCCCATGGCAACCGAATGTGCTTGGTAGCGGTGGCGGGACGGCTGACAGGACATTACGATTCTGGAATGTTCAGAGCGGGTTGTGTATGAAAACAACGGACGCTAAATCACAGGTATGACTGGTTAACCTCCCCCTTGAACATACATGTACATGTCTGATACGGTTGGTGAAGATTAGGCCTACGTGATTTCTTACGAATGTCATGATTTAGGTCGAATTAAAACTTTAGAATGACGTGTAAAAGCATCTGAGGAGAAGAATATTTTCGTTACTTTCCATGTATTCACATAGTGCAGTTTCCATTGTTTCTATATATTTTACGAAAATAGGATTGAATGAAGGTATCATGATTGTTAGTTAAATTTTGCATGACTATGAAACAGGGATAGTTTCTAATTATGACTCCTATATACCTCACGGGTATTCTTCGGATAACGATCAACACCTTGGGTGTTAGACCCTTCTCAGAACATCATGAACCTCCATCCTCCGAAAGGGCAGGCAGCCAGCCACCCCTCCTCCCAATGTATCACAGACATAATGTTCTGACGTTGAGCATGGGGAGAGGATTTAGTATTGGTTATCAAGAAGAGGACTTATTCTTGGTTGGCATTTTCTTTTCTGCAATATTCGTGATATAAGATAAATCATTGGGAGATCCAGGGAATGCCCACAATATGAATGCTTTAATACGTCCACATCTAACACAGATAATACAAGTATCAGTAAAAAAAAAAAAACACAGTAAAAAACACAATGAGTAAGGTGATTATTTTTCCTTTGTGCATCCATGCGTAGGCCTCCTGACGTTTATGTCAAAGAAACAGGCATTCACAATTTTCCATGTTCTGTTTTTCAATTGAACGATTGCTATGTCATTATTTACCAAAGATAACGCCCTTTCTCACACTTCCATAACTGTATGCATTAATCAAAACACTCATAAAAATGATCATGTTAATTCAATGTTTGCTTATCCGTCGTAATGTTTACAGGTCGATTCGTGAAATCTTGCCGCTTCCTTATTGCACCCTCTGATTATACCCCTATACTATGTTTACATCTACCTAAGATTCTTACCGCTTCCTTATTGCGCCCTCTGATTATACCCCTATACTATGTTTACATCTACCTAAGATTCTTACCGCTTCCTTATTGCACCCTCTGATTATACCCCTATGCTATGTTTACATCTACCTAAGATTCTTACCGCTTCCTTATTGCACCCTCTGATTATACCCCTATGCTATGTTTACATCTACCTAAGATTCTTACCGCTTCCTTATTGCGCCCTCTGATTATACCCCTATACTATGTTTACATCTACCTAAGATTCTTACCGCTTCCTTATTGCACCCTCTGATTATACCCCTATGCTATGTTTACATCTACCTAAGATTCTTACCGCTTCCTTATTGCGCCCTCTGATTATACCCCTATACTATGTTTACATCTACCTAAGATTCTTACCGCTTCCTTATTGCGCCCTCTGATTATACCCCTATTACATCTACCTAAGATTCCTATAACTCATTTACAGGTTTATCCCGCAAAAATAATTGCTAGCTGTAAAGTTATTTATGATTTTACAGAGTGTCTGGGAAAAGGGTGGTATTTAAACTATAGTTGACCAATTGAGCTCTCACAGGGGCGGGGCCTACATGTATATATTAAAGTACAGTCAGTATCTACCTATAAGATAACTGTCTCATTAATATTTGATATTTGATATTTAATATTTGATATTTGATAGTATTAGTAGATCGGCTTAAAGTGAGCTGATTTCAAATTGTCAAATTTAGTTAGATATAGGTTAGGTATGGGGAATTGGAGACCCTTAAGCACATAAGCATAATTTACATAAACATGAACAATGTTACAAATACAGAAATTTTTGTATTCTCTTTCGTAACTTCTTCTCTTTATTTGGTAACAAAATTGTGGTCATGATGTAACTGATTAATAAGATAACAATGATTAATGACGTCATCATCAAAGGTCTCTCATTACCTACATGTGTAGGTAATAAGGGACAGTTACAAATCAAGACATTTTAAATACAGTTTGAATGAAAATGGGATTGTTATAGTTAGTTCAAACACTTTTTGAAAGAGATACATGCAGCCAATGAACTTACTGTCATTTTGAAACGATTTTAAAACAATGCGGCCCAAAATATTTCTGTAGTTATTTGTTTACAGTAAGAAAGTTGCTTTTTTTAATGTTTAAATACTTTCAGAATAATGTTCTGGTAATGTGATTATTTACATTGATCAAACTCACAGCATATAGAAACAACTTCTTAAAGATAAAGTTAAGTTCTGGTCATGTGATTGCATTGTGAAAGAAAAGGTGTGGAATGGATCAGAAAAAATTGATCATGTAGCATGTAAGTATTGGTGTGTACTGCAAGGTTCTGGAGTTATTAAAATGATAAGAAGTTTGGCCCAGTCTTGGTAAAGTAACAAGTGCTGTACACAGAAAGATGCACATAGTAATACTCAAATGGTGTCGGGGCTACTACACTTGATTTCCTTATCTTTCTATGCTCATTACTCAACCATTATACATTTCCTACCAAAATTGTTTGGCAAATGATTTTTGTTTGTAATCTTGAACATTCAGTGTAAGTTTCGTTTGATTCTATGAGAATTCATTTTCTTTCTTTGACCAGAACCCAAGTTAATCTTTAAAATGAAATGCATTGAAATAAGAATGGTGGCACGAAAAAACCGAATATGTTTCATGATAGTGCCTTTCAACATGAAATGAACAACTGGGGGGAAGTAAGCCCCAATCTTGGACTTGGTGTCCCCCATTGCCTACACACATTTCTGATCAGACACCATTCATAATTTGCATTGCAACACCCATTTCTGATCAGACACCATTCATAATTTGCATTGCAACACCCAGGCGCGTACGCAGGAGGGGGGGGGGGGGGGGGGGTTGGGGTTGAACCCCCCTTCAATTTATTGTGTGTGTGTGTTTTGGAGGAACCCCCCTCAATTAAAATGGAAAAAAAAATTGTGCTAATGGGTGACCAAAAAATGTGCTCTTACCCCCCCCCCCCCCCCCCACGCTTATTCAGCGGCTGGCTGAGTCGTTGCGAAATTTTTGGGACAAAACAAAAATGTGTCCCGTATCCCAACGCCAACCAAATATTTTTTATCGAAATACAGTCAAACCTGTTTTAGTGGCCATAAAGGCCGGCTGTCTATAACAGAAATGTGTTTTGTCTCTCTCTCGAGAAAGTAAAGTGTTGTAGAATCTGTTTGAAGGCTTCGGTGACTTTTTTTTTCTTTCCCTCGGGGTACCTTAATTGACAGGTTTTATTATAAATTCCGAAGCAGTAGTTCCCAAATAAAATATAGAACTAACCCCTCCGTTACGAATTCACGCCATGACTATCAGGTTGACTAATATTTATTTTAGGCCCTGAATAGGATTTTTCGGAGTAAGAAGTAAGAAAAACCCTGCATTGATAAACATGTATTATTACATGTTGACACTATCATATTCAAACATATTCAAAACAATGACCGTCGCCCCCAAAACTCAAAACCGGGAACGTCGCCCAAATCTCGCTGGTTTCTATATAGCTAGTGCTGTGCAGTGCATTGTATTGTATTGTATTGTATTTATTTTCCGTCATTTAAAAAAATACATCAACATAATTATATATATATATATTTACAATAATAAAGACACACTTATAAAAAAAAGAAAGACGGAGGGATGGCCCTACTCAGCGTTGTTAGCATAACAATGCTGGTTTACAGAGGGGTCCCTATAGAAATAGAAAACATGAAAATAGTTATTACAAAAGTAAGGAAAACTTACAGCAAAATAAGAACTTACAATAATAATTACAAATTCGAGTAAAACAAGAAACATGAGAGAAATATTTACGATATTTATACAAGATAGAAAGCTAGACAAGTAAATTATTTATTTAAAAAAAAAAAAAAAAAAAAAAAAAAAAAAAAATACAGCTACAAGAAGTCTGGAATAGTATTGTTTAAATACTTTCTGAATGTTTGAACAGTTTGAAGTAATTTAGTGGTAGGAGGAAGAGTATTATATTGAATTGAGCTTCTGTATTGGGTAGTTCTGCGACAATATTCAGTTCTAGGTTTAGGGAGAACAAAGTATGTGCCCTGCATGGTATATACACGTACACGAGACCGGGATTTACCCAGGATTTCCGAACTCTGGCAGAAGACGAGTGAGACTTTCGGAATAATTCGATTTCATACATCTTTATCCCATTCAGTTTCCCTAAAAAAAAGTAAAATAATTAAGAAAAAACTTTATCAGAAAGCCGACCGTAGTTTTTAACATTTCTGGATCGGTCGCAAAGGGGAATGCAACATTTTTTAATTTTTTTTATTTATGCTCTATGGTGGTACCTTCGAGATATACCCCTTTTAAAAAGTATTTTCGGGAATTTCTCCTTTCTTGCAGGTGAGTTCGATTCTGTGGTCACGTGAGCACAAAGAGCTAGTCACAGGTCACGGGTACGCGCAGAATCAGCTGACCATCTGGAAATACGCCACCATGGAAAGAATCTGTGATCTTAAAGGTTAGTAAGTGAGTTGTTATTTAGTGCAGTGACGGATCCAGGGGATGGGGGCTTGGGGCTTGGGAAGAGGGGTGGGCGCATCCCTTAGCAAAGCCTGCACCGTGTGAACCTTGAGTAAACAGTCAGTACACCAACTATTTCCCCTGATTGTGCCCTCAGATAGCGATAGCGATAGAGGTGCTGTGGGCTAGTGGATAAGTCGCTGGACTGTGGATCACAGGGTCCGCGGTTCGTGTCCGCAGTTCGAGTCCCGCCAATGTTCTTTGGCAAGATATTAATCTACATTTGCCACTCTCAACCCAGGTGTTAGATGGGTACTGGTAGGAAGGAATTCCTTGAATGATGTGAGCGCCGAATCGGCTGCCTATAGTTGGAGAGCCTTGAGCACCGTGCATGGTGGATATCTGCGCTATATAAATATCCAATGTTATTATTACTGATTTGTTATTGTTTTTTTTAAATTCTTTTTTCCACATCAGACATGCTAGAAGGCCCCTCGAAAATGTGATACCTATATAAGATGGGAAGTAAGAGTTTACTTAGTCAATACATGTATTCCAAATTACAAATGCTCATTAATTGAAAGGCTTTGAAAACAATTTAATGCATAAAGCTTTCGAGTCCTAATGTCTCAGATTAATGTTACATCAATTTCAATTTGTTTCCAATATACGCCGTAACACAAACACAAATGTTTTGCAGTAGCTGCATCGAAGACTTGGAACACCATTCCTCTTTCCATAAGGGAAATTACCTTTCTTGCCACCTTCAAAAGATCCCTCAAAACTTTCCCTTTCCCCAGTGATCTATGTGATCTTCTTCCTGTGAGGCTGTACATTTTTTGTTTCTCTTTTCATTTATTTGTATTTGTAAGCGCTATGGTACTTATTGTATTTTTAGCGCTCCTAAATATTTGATATCATTATTATTATTATCATTATTATAAAGCCTTTTCTTCATCACTTTCACCCAGGTCATACAAACCGTGTACTTACGATGTGTTTGTCACCTGATGAAACCACCGTGGTATCCGCTGCAGCTGACGAGACCCTACGATTCTGGAACTGTTTCGCTCACGAGAAGAAGATGAAGAAGTCGTCTACGAGCTCGAGGAGCAGCGAACCGTCAAAAGGCTTGATTACAAGAACCATAAGATGAGGGAGGCAATGGCGGGAATGCCAAGATTATCTTATGATGTTTGGAGATAGAGACTCAGTGATTACAAAGGTGTTGAGCTAACACAGATGGTCAAGATGGATAGATGAATAGCAATGATTGAGAGTGAGAGAAAGATAGATACCATACATGTAGGAGAGAGAGAGAGAGAGATAGAGAAAGAGGAAGAGAGAGAGAGGAAGAGAGAGAAAGGACGAGAGAGAGGAAGACAGAGAGGCTAAGAGGGAGAGAGAGAGGTTAAGAGAGAGAGAGGCTAAGAGAGAGAGAGAGAGAGAAAGGCTAAGAGATATATATACACAGAAAAGAATAATGGAACATAAAAAAGAGATCGAGAAGTACAGAAATTGATTGAGAAATAGAAGGCAATAGGAGAATATAGAAATAGCGAGACTGAGAGTGTATTATTAACTTTTTCATAGTCTATTAAAATAACATATTTAAGTATTTGAAACAAAATTGTTGTAGAAAATAATGTTTCCAATTGCATATATTTTTTTCTTTCTTAATTGATATTGTAATGTCATGGTGAAGTTGAATTGATCTATTTTCTTGTGAATGTCCATTTGTGTTATATTTTCTATAAATGTTGTCATTTTTCATGATTTTGGTACTCCTCTTAAATTAATACCTCACAAACTATATAGCTGGGTAGTATCATCATAAATTTGTCGAAATATTGAAAATTATCAGAATACATAAAAACAATGATTTAATCTGCTGCTATTCAAGGTTTGTAATGAAAGACCATTGCACACCTCACGACCAAACTATGAGGAGATTTTGGAAGAATTTGCGATATGGAAGTCTGTCAAATATATGCTGCCAAGGTTTCAGATAGTCGTATCAATATCAATATTGAAAGTGCACAGTATTTCAAAGCCTTGTAGTCTGAGAAATGACCAAAGCAGCTATCATCAGGAAGCCAGTTAACCAGGCCGGGGAGGTGTTTCACAAAGATTTTAAGTTGAACTTAACTCCAAGTTGGACTTAAAAATTACAGAAAGCTGTTAGCATCTCTGAAAATATTTTGTAAAAGATATTTTAAAAGGCATAACATGTTGATTCAAATCAATCATATTTTCTTTTATCAAGGAGATTTCATGTACTTGATGTGGAATTTATGAAAAAAATTAAAATACTTGAATTTTCGCTTTATTTAAAGGCTAGAAATGGCTCTCTATAATGTTCCAAGTCTAATTTAGAGTTAAGTTCGACTTCGGATCTTTGTGCAACACCCCCCCCCCCCCCTGGTGTTATGCAGTCATTATGATTGACAGCTGATTGAACTCCTCCTCAACACTCTTCACTTTGATAAATGTATGAATATTCATAAGATGCTTCAAGACTTTACTTGGGAAGATTTTTTATTTTTGAAATTTCCATATCTAGTCCTATTTTGATATCTTTCAAAATTCAGTCATAGAAGAGTTGTAAAGTTGTGTGGTTGCTGCAAGTCGCTCCAATAATATATATATTGTGCAATACCATTCGACATCTCTGATAACAGGCCATTTTACCATGATTTTTCATGATTTTTCTACTTTCCACTGATGAATTTAAAATGCTATAAATCAATCTTTATCAAGTTGTAGTACACAAATGATTGAAATAATTATAAAATTGAATTATCAATGCCAAATCAATCTGCTATCAGAACCCCTATTGTCATTATGCTTGAATATATTGGGTAGTTAAGCGAAATGAAGTGCATGGTGCAAAATGCATAATTCTTGAAAATCATGATTTTGTCAGAGGTAGAACCACATTGTTAGGGTATGGAGCTGGTAAATGCATATATCATCTCCAGAATTCTTAGCTAAACTTTCCTTCAGATAAGTTTAAAAAAAAGAAGAATTTGAATTAACCATATACTTAAGTATAACAACCTTCATACTCCATCATAGCACCAACAACCTTTATAGTTCATCATAGCACCAACAACCTTTATACTTCATCATAGCACCACCAACCTTTATACTTCACCATAGCACCAACAACCTTATACTTCATCATAGCACCACCAACCTTTACACTTCATCATAGCACCAACAACCTTTATACTTCATCATAGCACCAACAACCTTTATACTTCATCATGGCACCAACAACCTTTATACTTCATCATGGCACCAACAACCTTTATACTTCATCATGGCACCAACAACCTTTATACTTCATCATGGCACCAACAACCTTTATACTTCATCATAGCACCAACAACCTTTATACTTCATCATAGCACCAACAACCTTTATACTTCATCATAGCACCAACAACCTTATACTTCATCATAGCACCACCAACCTTTACACTTCATCATGGCACCAACAACCTTTATACTTCATCATAGCACCAACAACCTTTATACTTCATCATAGCACCAACAACCTTTATACTTCATCATGGCACCAACAACCTTTATACTTCATCATGGCACCAACAACCTTTATACTTCATTATGGTACCAACAACCTTTATACTTCATCATGGCACCAAAAACCTTTATACTTCATCATGGCACCAAAAACCTTTATACTTCATCATGGCACCAAAAACCTTTATACTACATCATGGCACCAACAACCTTTATACTTCATCATAGCACCAACAACCGTTATTTCCTGCTTTCGCTTTTCTGAATATTGTTTTTTGTATATAATGTCTTGTAAATTTTACTATGTGAAATAAATCAAATTCATCACCTGAACGGAGTGGTTGTGCATGTATTATAATTCTTGATTTATTTTGAATAATGTTATCATGTCATGAAATGAGCCTTTACAATAATGAAAGTACATTAATATAACATCGCTGAGGAGAGAATGCTAAATGCACTTTATGGAATACCACCTCCTGAAAGAAGGCAGGGTATTACTTCACATGGATAACACCAATGCAATATGATGCTTACACTTTCAAAATGCATAATACTTAACATTTTAGAATCCATGTACATTCATAGCTATCTATACAACTCACTCCCAGATCCTAATCAAATGATTGGTCATGCGCGGTCACATGTGATTCATTTACTGAGCCTATTGCACTCGTTTTCATGAAAAGGAGGGCAATATTTTCCAGTATTATTGAACTCATTTTCAGCGCGCAGTAGTGCGCGTAGAGGTTAGGGCACTTAATACTGCGTGAGCATATGAGCCTATTCTTGCGCAGCACAATGCGTAAATGGCTATCTATAGCTAAGTGTGCGCACTAAATTAAGCCTTATTAAACTTGATATTTATTTGTCAGCCATAAACTGTCACGAAACAATCTTGAATGAATTCTTTTTACATCAAATAACAAGGATCTAGGAGTTACGTTGTATAAAACAAATGATGCATGTTTTTATTCGTTCATTATACGATCTATCCGCCCTCATTGATGCTGTGTGTATCTATCGCACTCGGCCTAATGGCTTTGTGCGATAGAAACACACAGCCTCAACTCGAGTGCGGATAGATCGTATAATGAACTCATGCGCATGCATCATTTGTATACTATATGTCAATGTGCATGTAGTTGTGGTTATTTTGCTTTCTTTTGTTAGTGTCAAGTGCAAGTTAATTGATTTAAAGGGAAATCCAACCCTTTTAAAAAGATAATTTGTATGAAAGCAGAAAAATCTGAGAAACAGTGGCGAAAGTTTGAAATAAATTGGACCTATAATAAGAAAGTTATGAATGTTTGAAATAACACATTACTGCAGTTTTGCATCTCAAATTAGCTTGGTCAGTGAATTGTGACCTAGTGACGGATAACTCGCCTGTTTGTTGTGTACTAGAATATCACTAAATTCTGCTTTTCATCCAAGGGCTTTCAACCTTGGGGCACTACTCAAAATATATTATGGAGAGTATATCATTACCGGTCCTCTAAAAAAAAAGACCATCCTGTGTCATATATTTTTAAAAATCATAACTTTAGTCATTTTGTGTGTTGGAACAAATGGGAAACTTGTCCGCTACTACATGTACATCACCGAGACATAACCAATTCAGCCATTTTGAAGAGCTCATACCTACATTGATTGCAACTTCTACAAAATTCATAAGTTTCTAAACTTTGACCTGTGTGCTTCTCTGATTTTTCTGCTTTCTTCAAGATTTTTTATTTTAAATCACGATTGGATTTCCCTTTAAAGCCTGTCTGTACTAGTTTGGCCAGGAGGGATTAGACCTCCCTGCATGGTCACTGACAGGTGGTTATCTCATCAAATCAGCTCTCAATTAACATAAGAAAAAGGGGATCATGGGGGATCAACAGGTACACCTTTGGCATTGTTTGATATATGTACATGGATATATATATATATATATATAGAGAGAGAGAGAGAGAGAGAGAGAGAGAGAGAGAGAGAGAGAGAGTGCAAGTAGATACAAGTAGTGCAGTCCCCCATTAAACCAGATTTTTGTCATGCTGAATTTGCAAAGTATTTATTATTTCTAGCTTTTTCTGGATACATAATTTGTAGATTGAATATACCTGTCTTCTAATTCTTTGGTCAACTTTATGCATACTTTGGAAATGCTGTTCATGACCTAAAAGTGTGCAAGATATGCAAATTGATGACAGACTGAACAAGAATTGACACAACATGGAAAGGCCAAGAATCAGTCAGTTTGGAGTTGGTAAGGTGAAGTGACCCCATTAAGAGGCTGAAAATGAACCCTAATGTATGCAAGAATGTTTTCAAACAAGAAGGTACTCTTATAGCCTACACTGCACTGCAGATGAATCAAATAGATCTGGGAAAAGATATCCATAAACCTGTACGTATCAGCGTACTGGGCCCCATCTAACGAAGTTGATATCCATCGCAACTGTGTACATAAAAGATAGGAGACTGCAAAGTTGCTATTGATTAGAGGACTTGCGATTGTTTTGGATCAATCGCAAATCTTTGTAAGACGGGGCCCTGGTCTACGAATTAACTACACAATTAGTTTATAATCTCGGCTATCATGCCCTTCAGACATAAAGTGATTAACAAATAAAGGCATTACTTAATTACAAAATGTTACAATTTTGCCTCTCAACTAACAACATAAACATCTCCTTTGCTAGGCATCCACATTTCACAGAAACTTGTCAAAAGTAGCATGAAAAGGCATCAACTGACACTGACAACTGCATGTACATGGATTTTGTAAATTTTGGCTATTATTATCTCTTTTCTTTAAATAAGAATTTTTTTAAATAGGCCAATGGTAATGTGACCCTGAAACTGCTACAAATGAACAGCATTCAAAATAGAGCTGATTCATGCAACACATTGTGTAAAGTCTCTTTTTCTGCTTTGATGTTTCTACCCGAACACATCATGGAGAAAAAGCACAATCCTCCACTCTCCAAATGCTTATCCTTGAAAAACTAGAAAAGCTGACGGTATGAGTACGGTTGGTATCCTGAAGTGCGCCCTCATAAGAAGAGCCCTCGCATTCTTCTGCCCATGCCCTGCCGGTCGTACAGAACATTGAATTTGTTGACAAACTGCGGATCGTGAAAGAAAATAAAAAGGAGAGCATTAAGATTTGAAAAAATTTGTGATGTCACACCTCGAAATCAAGAGTTCAGTGACACAAAGACGTAACTCCATATTTTGCCAAAATGAATATTTGATATCAAAATGTTCAGAACAATGTGGGCTTTCCAGGAAACAAAAAGACTAAACTCAACCCAACACCCCATTGGAGTTAATGGCTAGTGAAACATAGACTTAACTCCTTAAGGCCCAAGTGCTCAGTGACACATAAACCAATTTTTCTCAAAATGGCCAAAATGGAGTTACGCCTTTGTGTCACTGACCCCTCGATATGTCATATATGGAATGGTAATATGCCAGTTCCTTTCAGACATTACATGTGGAGAGTAACTACAATCATGCCAATGTAATTGTAGCAAGAAAATTGTGTATCACTATTTGCTTAATAGAGTTTGTACAGTACCTTCATCAGATCAAATGGAAACACAAAATAAGGAAGCCAACTCACAGCACTTGCCCTACACATATCGACGACAACTGAATTTTTTGTTAATAGAACACAATCCAATTTGACTGATCAAGTGAGTAACATCATGTCATTATCTCTGGTGCAGAGAGCCAGATTTACAGACTGCTAGTTACATTTTACAAGTGCAGAGGAGCCTTGTTTAAACAATCTTCTTGGGACCTAGGGATTTTCCTTGTTGAATTGAAATCTCATATCATGGTTAAAAACCAATAGAATTAAAAAGCCAAGACTGTACAAAATCACAAAGTTTGTTACAAAAGTGTTTGTTTTAACACAGGATTCCATTGTATCATCTTACCTGTACAAGTAATTTTGCACACTTCATTCTTGAAATGTTTGTATTTTAATCAGTTTATGCTCCCTACTATCCTCAATCCTAACACTCAATTTCATCAAAAGAATTTTTGCTAAAACTTACCTGGTTAATCGTGTTACAGCCTTTAGTGATAGCCCCTAGGTAGGCCATGAGAGTGACATCATTACATTGCTAAAAAATATCAAACAAACAAAAACAATAAATTGGCTTGAACTAGCAAGTTTCTAAATTACAAGTTAAAGATAAACTCCAGTTCTGGTAAAAAAAGAAAGAAAATTGATTCTCACACAATCAAACGAAACTTACACTGAATGTTCAAGATTACAAATAAATGTCATGTGCCAAACAATTTTGGAAGAAAATGTATACTGGCTGAGTAATGAGCATAGAAAGACAAGGAAATCAAGGTAGTACTAGCCCCACACCATGAGTGTTGTCCCACATAAAGCTTTCTGTGTACAGTGCTTGTTACTTTACCAAGACTCGGTCAAATTTATTATGACTTTGATGACTCCAGAACCTTGCAGTGCACACCAATACTTACATGCTACATGATCAACTGTTTCTGATCCTTTCCACACCTTTTCTTTCACAATACAATCGCATTACCAGTACTAAAGTTTATCTTTAACTTATCTTGAAAAGTTCATAATATCTTAAACTGGTTAAACATAAATATAGCCAAATTTATAGGAATTTTGTATTTTGTTTAATATAAGTATTTTGTGGTCAATACTGGTCTATGCTAGAGCAATGAGTAGTGAGCAATTAGCTAATCTCAAAATGAGCTTTGAAAAACATAAACAAACAAATTTGCAATAAGGGAATATAATTATCATACGCAAATCCAGACAGACTAATCCCCTCTCCACATGCAAAAACAGTAATTCTAATGGTTTTATTTCTTATGCAAAACATAATACAATGAATAATTATATTACAAAAATATACAATGAAACAACAAATATAATAGGTGTAGTAGTGGAGGTAGTTATCTTAGAATCCTTCTATTACACTGGAGATTTTAGATAGAGATAAAGATCTTTGACCAGGGAAAAAAATATTATTTATTTTACTTTTCAACCTTGCTTGCATAAAAATAACATTTCTAAAATTTGTTTTGCATTGAACTCTATGCAAATTTAAGGGGCTCTTTTCTGATTTCCGGGGGCTCTTTTGGGCATTTCAGGGGCTATTTCGCCCTGAGCCCCCATGTATTTTTTTCACTGTCTTTGACAGAGATAACTTACATTGTGGAATTCTGTATCAAGCTTGTCCAGATGAAGGACCAGGAGCCTATCAAGGCAGAGACTGTTGACATATCTCACTATGGATGAACATGTATCTGGACAACAACCCCTGGACTTAACCCTCCTGGACTACACTACCTCGGACAATTACCACTCCCAACCCTGTCAAATTCTGTGCAACGACTGGTGTGCTGTCAATATCCTTGACTATTGAACTAGTTTCCCAACTTCAAGCCTGGATCAAACACTCTACCTGACCCTAATCCTAACCCTACATACCTGACCCTAATCCTAACTCTACCTACCTGACCCTACATACCTGACCCTAATCCTAACTCTACCTACCTGACCCTACATACCTGACCCTAATCCTTAACTATTGAACTAGTTTCCCAACTTCAAGCCTGGATCAAACACTCTACCTGACCCTAATCCTAACCCTACATACCTGACCCTAATCCTAACTCTACCTACCTGACCCTACATACCTGACCCTAATCCTAACCCTACCTACCTGACCCTAATCCTAACTCTACCTACCTGACCCTACATACCTGACCCTAATCCTAACTCTACCTACCTGACCCTACATACCTGACCCTAATCCTAACTCTACCTACCTGACCCTACATACCTGACCCTAATCCTAACCCTACCTACCTGACCCTAATCCTAACTCTACCTACCTGACCCTACCTACTTGACCCTAATCCTAACTCTACCTACACTGTACCTGACCCTACCTACTTGACCCTAATCCTAACTCTACCTACCTGACCCTACATACCTGACCCTAATCCTAACTCTACCTACCTGACCCTACATACCTGACCCTAATCCTAACCCTACCTACCTGACCCTAATCCTAACTCTACATACCTGACCCTACCTACCTGACCCTAATCCTAACTCTACCTACATGTACCTGCACCTAACCCCACACATAACCCAAAGCCTGACTGGAACCCAAAGTATCACCCTACATCTTTGGAAAATACATGCTATACCCGAGTAGAGGTGAGAGTACCAGCCCAGGGGGGTAGATCCTTGAATCAGCCATCATACACAAGAAAATCTTTCTACCCGGGGGTGTCCTAAGAAGAGGCATTTTGGAAGCTGATCTTGAATAAAGCTGTAGATCTTTGACAAATAAAAAACTTAGATTAAAGCCCCACCACACTAGTTTGGCCAGGAGGGATTAGACCCCCCCCCCTTCATGGTAACTGAAAGGTGGTTATCTCACCACCTTTCAGTTAACATGAAAGGTGATAAGGTGGTTATCTCATCAAATAAGCTCTCAATTAACATAAGAAAAAGGGGAGCCATGGGGAACCAACGATCAACGATCACCGATTAGGCATTGTTTCTATATAGAGGGCGCAAGTAGCTATAAGTAGTGCAGTGGGGCTTTCAGATGACTTACATTGTAGAATTCTGTGTCAAACTTGTCCAGATGTAGGACGGGGAGCCTATGACAGAGACTGTTAGCATCCCTCAGTATCTCATGGTTCATAGGCACCTCTCCAGACTGCACTGCTTTCACATAGTCAACGATCAGCTTGACACGACTATGTAGCATCTTCACAGCATTGTGCTGGGCTATCAGGTGCTCAGCAACTGGGAGAAATTTAAGAAAAATATTTCTTTTCTTAAATTATCAATTTTTTTTGCATATCACAGTTATGAAAATACATTTTCATTATCACTATGCAGCAATATCATAAGCTCTAAAACTTTGTATCGATTTGCTAATAATATTTAAAAATTGTGACATCATGATACCGTACACAAATATTGAAACGATTACTCATAAATGTCCATTTTCTAACACATTTATTCAGCTGATATAGATGAGGCATTGTTGGATTCTGTTGGCATCTATCTATTTAACATCAATTACTATTGTTTACAATCAATAATTTGTTTTTAGGGTGTTCAAATACATTCTTGATCAAATAAAGATAAAGAGAGTGAAAAGGAGAGACAGAGAGACAGAGACAAAGAGAAAGAGAGAGAGAGAGAGAGAGAGAGAGAGAGAGGGAGAGAGAGAGAGGGGGGGGGGGCAGAGATGGATGGAAACACATAAAAAGGGACAGACAGAGAGAAAAATTTACCCTATAAATAACATAAAAAGGTATACATAGACTTACCAACTGAGCTTTCCATAGTTTCACTGTTGGTTACCCTAGCAACATGATCAACACCTATCCTCTCAGCCTCTTCTGTTGCTAGGACAAAATGAAGCTCAACAAACAGCATGGTTGCTATGCCATTGATTAGATCAATCACAGATTCAAACATATGAACCGGGAGCTGTAAAAACAAACAGAATTAATACAATTAAAGAGGACCGACAATTTTTAAAACAAAATATTTGTGATTTACTACCATCATTATCATTGTTATGGTTATTATTACACAACTCACTCCTAGATCCTTCTGAAATGATTGGTCAAAGGTGGTCATGTGTAATTCATTGACAGAGACTATGCAAAGTTTCTAATGAAAAAGTGTGCAATAGTTTCCAGTACTATCCACAAGTTTTAAGTACATGTATGTGATGCGCATGAATCATATGTAAGCATTACCATTACTATCATATCATTATCAATAAGTATCTTTGTTATCATCACTGATGTTTTTGTTACTGTTTTTATAACTATAACCATTAGTACTCTTCTTTTCCTTCTTCTCCCTTTTCAGTCTTCTTCATCCTCTCCCTCCTCTTCTTCTCCTCTCTCCTCCTCCTCCTCCTCCTCCTCCTCCTCCTCATCCCCCCTCCCCCTCCCCTCCCCCCTCCCCCTCCCCCTCCCCCTCCCCCTCCCCCTCCCGCTCTTCCTCCTCCTCCTTCTTCTTGCGGGAATGTCTGTGGTACCACCAGCTCCCTGTCTTTGCCTAACTGACTCTGATCAGACATTTATTGTTGCTGTTGCTATTTTTTTTATTTACTGTCAGCTTTATCATTACCAGCAGCAATAATACTTACATCAGTCTGTCTGGAGAGAGGGTTCAACTTCAAGAATATAGGACTTTCATTGATTTCACAAATCTGTTTGGAACAGAAGAACAGAAATAGGTTTAGATTAGACATAGATCTATATTTGTTCACCAGAAATTAATTATTAATCATAAATGTCATTAGCTTGTTTTGGAAGAGATAAAACATAACAGTCCTAGAAAAGGTGTGGGGGAAATGTCGTTCTAAATTAGGCCGTTTGTTAATGTGCAGCATTTGAGCATAGGAACAACTCATTATATCTTTATATTTTTAGCCTATTTTTGAAAGTATGGAAACAAAATCAAGGCAAACAAAACTGAACAAAAAAGAGACTCAACCCACTGCCCCAAAATAAATAGATATTTGATTTTCATCACCTGTGCTTGAAAAAATTAGTTATCAATGCTTAATCAAGATTTATATATCAACATTAAACTGTGGTCAAGTAGTTCATGTATTCATCTACATGTATTAACCCTCTCTGTGCTGTTGGCTGCACAATTATAATCAAATACTAAAAACTTTGTTTGACTATTTTTGTTCCCCTCAAACAGGAATGGCCTCACAGGTGGACATGTTAAAGACCATCAATACTACTGGGCCAGAAGGGATTAGACCACACAGCGAGGTCACTGACAGATGGCTATCTCATTAACTCAGCTCTCAACTAACATAAGAAAAAGAGGATCATGGGGGACCAACAGGCACTGATTGGGGAAGTTTTCTATATAGAGGGAGCAAGTAGCTACAAGTAGGACAGTGAGGCTTTAACTAAACATTATCAAGTTTCTTCCTTGTTGTAGGTGTCCTAATCTAAACATGAAACAGTAGAAGTATAAATTTCCTCCTTGAGAGATTCAAACACTTCACTGAATTGTACCCGGTAGGATGCAAAAGTTCATTGGTTGGACGAGCAAGTGTGCTCTTGTAAAATGGCGACTGGCTGGAATGCTCCCCAGGGAGTTGAAAATGTGCACATATTGTGTGCGGGTAAGCCTGAATCCGATTACCAGGGTAATAATATATATCTGTAAGGGCGCTTAGGCACATCGTTGGATCGTTGAGCGCTTTATAAAAACGGAATATTATTATTAAAGTCCAAAAGTTGCAAGCTCTGGAGAAATCATCTTTAGCTACAGGTGTACACTGGAGACTCTCTACCCATGCATATGTTATAAGTGAGTATGTGGTAGAATAAAATATTGTGAATACTATGAGCATCAAAGTTTATCAGCTAGATAAAGCAAGGGTAATATTGGAGCATCATGTGTGGTAGATATGGGTTCTGTCAGATTACAAGATGTCATTTACAATGTATATGCACTCAGATTCAACCTAAATGTACATCACGGTAGAGGTTTACGGTACACCATGTGTAAAGTCCTAGAAGGACTAAGGAAAGTGGATAGAAAATAGAAGTGAAAATAGAAAGGCGAGAAAGTGGAGGTTGGAAGGAAGAGTATTTTTCAGGCTTCTCGCCTTTCTATTTTCACTTCTATTTTCTATCCACTTTCCTCAGTCCTTCTAGGACTTTACACATGGTGTACCGTAAACCTCTACCGTGATTATTCATACCACCATGCGAACCTTCAAACATCATCTAAATGTACATGTATGTAACCTTAAAGCCACACTGCACTACTTATAGCTACTTGGCCCTCTATATAGCAAACAATGCCTAATCGGTGCCTGTTGGTTCCCCATGCGTCCCTTTTTCTTATCTTAATAGAGAGCTGAATTGATGAGATAATCACCTGTCAATGACCTTGCAGGGTAGTCTTATCCCCCTGGCCAAACTAGTACAGACAGGCTTAAATGCACAGAATAGGTAAGAATGAGCTGGAAAGGAGTATTACCTGTTTGTGTACTTTAATATCTGATTCATCTGGAGACCCTCCAGGGGTATACCTTGCAGGGTGGTCTTATCCCCCTGGCCAAATTAGTACAGACAGGCTTTAAATGCACAGAATAGGAGAGAATGAGCTGGAAAGGAGTATTACCTGTTTGTGTACTTTAATATCTGATTCATCTGGAGACCCTCCAGTGGTATACCAACCAAGAAACTCATGGTCCTTGAATACCTGCTTGACTGAAACACAAAATATGAACATCATTTACAATTGCCATTTAAATGTCATATTGTTTCTCAATCTCCCCCCTCCCCCTGCCAGTGATCCTATTACTTTCTTTCTTTTCACTCCACATTAAATTTATATTTTCAATTGTGAAGCAAAGTTATGTTTCCATGAGAGACTGATGGGAATATAACAATGAGTCCAGGAATACATTGTATCTTTGAAACTTTTATTAGCCCTAACATATAATTTAGCAAAGGCTCCACGCTTGACTTTATTTCAAAGTTTCTACTTTTCAAAAAACTGAAAGATAATAAAGAACCATTGTTGAAACTTGTGCCAGAGATTTTTCTCAATACTGAAGGCCCATTTTTTTCTGATCCTTCATGAACCAATGAACCTACATTGTACATGTAGATTATGCCTATTATGCCAATTGGTCTTAAACATGAATGAAAATATATCACGACATTCATATTCAACATCAAATGCAAACTGAAGGCACCTGAACTTAAAGTGAGTCACTTGTCAGTTTCCATGTGCAGAAGGCCATAATTCGCTGACACCAGACTTGGTGGATAATAAAACTTAATAACGTGTGTACAGGTATTAGGCGTGCACACAGCGAACCCGTTGGCCAATCGAGAAATACCCCCTCGTCTATCAAGAGTCTTCGGGTGTCGGCCACGTGAGATAATGACTTTACCATGTGGGGGAATGGGTGGAAAACGCAGTACGTTACATAAGGCCTGGTGGTCATAAAACTGAAGGATAATTCTGGTGATTGACAGCACCTCTTATTGGGTAAACACCCGAACGGTGTTGAATTCCCCATGAGAGCTAACTACTGAGTGTCTTTAAATACCATATTACTCTTCTGTTGCTGTCACATACTTACATTGTTCTTCTTTAGTGTTGTAATATTCCCTGTCAATGATGATGTCTCCCTCTACGGTGTCAAAGAGAAGTTCAAATGAATTGAGAACCTCAATGTTTCTCCCCTCCTGCTTGCCTATCAAAGCACCGAGAACTGTGAAAGTAATGAAATAAATCAACAAATTGTATCCATGTAAAAGTGTAAAAAGGAAAGCAAGCAAGGAGTGCGCTAAATTAAGCAAACTCTGTGTGTGCGCCTTAGTATACTAAACTAATAGCTATTATCCTAAAGAAAGTATCAAATTGGGAAGGTGAAAACAGTCTGTACATGTATACCGCATGTATTTGCATTTCAGGCAGAACCAGCTCTTTCATATGGCACCTCAATTGTTATGCATCGCCTTGAGGATCACAAAGAATAAAGGTTTGAATCTCAGTTTGGTAATAAAAACTTTGACCAATTTTGCATGAACGCGCAATGCACGTAGACTGCATAGGGAATTAGGGATGCGTGCAATTTCTATTGGAAGGGTTTTAGCACACAAAACTGAGTGCATGGTCAGACACCGTAATTGTACACGTAGAACTTTACGCATTGAGTGTTGTAATAATGTGAGATAATGTGCTCTCATTGGCCGATCTACTAGAGTGGTTTTTAATTAAAGTGGGAGAGGGCTCGTTTTATAAGCAAAACCTGCAATGACAATGCCAATAAGTAATATTACATAACACACCGACAAGTAATGCTGCGACGAGTACTCAAATATTTGAGTACCCGCACTGTTAACAATACTCAAGTTTGATTTCTCGTACTTGAATACTTGTCCGCCCTTTTTTTTTTTGCCCGTTCACCTGGCACTGTCCAGGCCGACGCTTACCCGTGCCCGGGAGAGCGCCGGCATGGTACCATGGGTAAAAATGTTTCCCAGCTCAATCACTGTCAACTAACCACTAAGAAACTGGGACCCAATGTCTGGAATTCTGTTTGGACTCGGAGGAAATTAGTCTGTCATCTTTAGTTTTAAAAACAGCATTGTTTACTATTATATTTAAATCGGCGCCTTCAATTGAGTTTTCGAAGACGGACCTGGGCTGCCTGGGATACTTCTACCATAGTATGGTGGTGGCAAAAAAACACACAAAAAACAAAACAAACTAACATGGCGTACGAGTATTCGCCTGTAAGCCTGGGAGTGTACTCGAGTACCTCATTACACGCTTATGCACAGCCCTACCAACAAGTCATGCTTTAAACAGGTGACGCACACGGCACACTTTAAAGGTACTACCTGTATGTCCCATTTGCAGGCCAAAAAAATGAAAAAGTTAAATTCCAACTGCAAAGATAATACTAATTTAGAACTTCCCTAAAAAACACCTTTCTGATAGTTCTACCTAAAATAAATCTACCCAAACGAGAAAAAAATATTTTTTTCATGAAATCAACGCAGTCAAACTTACCCCCAACGAACTATTTTTGATCCGGTTTCCAAACCTCTGATGAATGCGCACTTTCGCGCGTGTGCTATACGTGCGCTGTACGTGCGCTATGCGCTATACGTGCGTTATACGTGCGCTACAAATGAACGTCCGAAGCTTAGCAAGTGCGTCCGAAGCTTGGCATGAAAAAAGGTTCGGCGGGTAAGTAAATAATTCTAGTTTTCCATTTCCTTTACTAATTTTCTTTTCATGACATACATAAACAGTATTTGCACAATAATAGTATATTTGATCTTTCACTAATTAAAAAAAGAATTTAATGTTTTTCCCCCGTTTTGTCTTAAGTGTCTGAAGTTTGGCGGTCTTACTCTAGAGTAAGACCGCCAAACTTCGGACTATCAGAAAGGTGTTTTTCACAACACTCACACAATATTTTGGTGCTAAAATCTTACGAAAGCGCTATTTTTTCGTAGTCAAAATGACACTCAATGTTGCCTGTCTGAAGTTTGGAAGAGCGCCATCTTCTGGTAGGGGTACCTGTATAGTACCCCTAGCCCTAGGTCCGTGGTAACGGCCGCCATTAGAAAATTTTCGCGATAGAGTGAAAAAGTATCTCATAAGCTCCCATAATTTTGGCAGAAACCACCTGAAATATGCCAAGGATTTGTTTTTAATCGATATATTGGAGGCTCTATACCTTAACTCCCCTGTTAAGGGACTGTAAAAATCCAGGTAACCTGAAATCTGTCTCTGAATTCGATGTTTTTTGTGAGTTTTGCAGACGGCAACCTGCCCTAACTTTCTGTACTAACGATGTAGGTTAGTAGTAGTATCAAATGCATGCAAGTTACCCGCCTGAGCTAGGCTCATATTTTGCGTTCGAGCCGTTGAAGTAATTTTTGTCCGAAGTTTGGCGGTGTCCGAAGTTTGGTGGTTTTACTCTAACGTTAGTACCTTTAAAGCAGGACGTGTCAAACTCTCTGTGTGGTGTGACATAATATTACGTTTTGACGCTTAAGTAAAGTAAAGAAAAGTAGTTCCTCACACACTTAAATTCGAAGCCACTCGAGCGGATCGGCCAATGAGAGCGCATAAACTTGTAGTACACTGTACTGTACAGCGCTCAATGCGCTAAGCCTAAGTCCGTGAGCAGTAGGGGCGCTGGTCCGAGAATGAGGATCGTCCTCATAAACAAGGATATCCTCATAAACGAAGACAAAATGTGTCCTCAAAAATAAGGGTCGTCTGCATTTTCGAGGACGTTTTTTTTCATCGGCGCTCTGGGGGTTTCATGTTACAGAACGGCCCGCTGGCGATGCCAAAAATGGATTCCCCAGGGGAAAATAACCCTAGTTGTCCGTCTACTTTTATGGGTTGTCCGTCTTCCCAAGGATTTATTGCTCATAATGTGAAGGTCTCTGTACAAAGTCAATGTAAATTGCATCAAGAAAATCATTGCAGAATCCGTTTTTTGCATCGCCAATGCGCCGATCAAAAATATTAAACGTCTGCAAAAATGCAGACGGTCCTTATTTTTGAGGACGCATCGGTCAGTGTTAAAGAAGACGATCCTTGTTTATGAAGACGATCCTTATTCTCAGACCAGCGCCCCTACTGGTGAGGCGTGCAAACCTTGTCTTCGGTAGGACTAGATCTAGATCTAAAGTAGGGTCCCTAATGACCGCATGAGGGCGATATTGCAAAATCACCCTCTGGCTGCATTGGACTCTTTGTCACCAGCGAACATGCTTTTGTGCAGTGTGTGCCAATACGAGGGGCGGATGAATTTCACTTTCTTTATTTGTGATTCACCTCTCATGAATATTTATAAGCACTTACCTTATTTGGAAAACTTTACAAAGCTTCTGACATCAGAATCACCGTCAACCCGATCTGTCTTTGTCTTCAAAATCACCTTTGAGCTCAGTAGTAAGAGCAATTTTGACCGTGTATGAGCGATTATTTGTGCTGTTTTTACGAAATGAACTATGAGACCGGTAGGGACCACCTTAAAGTGTGGTATTATCGGAAAGCTTATGTAATTTGTGATTGAATGTTGACAACTCCAGAGGCCCACAAGCTTTCAGCGATAGAACATACCAGTGCTAATGATACCCTTCCCGCCCCAGCCGGGTTCAATTTTGAGAGATTTCGCGTACGGAAGTGGGCAATTAGTGGCAGTGCCATTTTTGGCAAAAAAAAAAATCTCTTTATTAATTAAATTTGTGATTTAGGGTAAGTTCTCAGTGAATTTGCTTTGCATATATGATGTATAAGATAAATCAGTATACATCTATCGCCATTACGGGAATTTTAATTGGAATTTTATTTTTTCATAATTATGACTATCTAAAGTCTAGATCTAGATCAACATTTTGACTTTTTCAATATTGGGTTAAATTTTTGACCGATAACAAAGCGCACCAGTTTGAATGCTAGGCAATATCAATATCATATTATCATTTGGCCATTAGGCCTCATGGAAAACATGTCAAATTTCATTATTGACTTTTTTTATTTCTTAACTTTTCGCACACATGATTTGTAACGTGTGGGGCAAACACAATTACTCTACAAAGCAAAATTGCAAATGTCATCTTACCTTGGGTAGGTTTTCCTTCTTGTGCACGGATTCTCGTCCAATGTTCAGAAATATTCATTACAACGAGAGGATGAAGAGCGACTGCTACGCTTCCGGTCCCACTAGAAGCCATAACAGCTGACTGCGAAGACGATGAATTTCCTTCAACTTCCATTTCAGACGCCATCTTGAACTAGGTCTAGTCGATTACGTAAGACAGAGCGATGTTGATAGAAGGGGCGTGGCTTATCGCGATCTGTCTATTTTGAGCAGTCGAGTAATCTTGTTGTGGAAATAATGACTCAGTTTTACCGCTGACACTTGATTTGTTGGGTACTGTTTTTCATTTGCAGAAACGTTTATTGAGTAGTCGAGTGGTTGGTGAAAGTATTTCAGCAAAGATGGCAGACCCTACGACTTCACCGATGGATGAATGCCCGTTGTTTGATGGCGACGTTACTAAATGTGTGAGTAGGCCCCCTTGACCATTACTAATACTTCATACTTGTGTTAGCATGAACAATGCGCGCGAGGACTTTGCAGGCCAGAGTACTCCCGTGTTTTGCGATGCCTGTCCCGATCGATCCCGTACATGTATTTTATGTAGGAATTTCACGGGGCTATGTTTAATTGTTACGGTTTGAACATTTGAAGTATCAATTCATTTCCTTTTAACTGTAATAAAGGTAACACATACATATAAACAGTAATCAACAAATATGTTGTAAAGATAAACAAAATGACAAGGGTAATTGAGAGGCATAAATTATGAAGAAGAAGAAGAAGAAGTGGGGGAGGAGGAAGAGGAAGAAGAAAAAGAGGGGGAGGAGGAAGAGGAAGAAGAAGAAGAGGGGGAGGAGGAAGAGGAAGAAGAAGAAGAAGAAGAAGAGGAGGAGGAAGAAAAACAATGGTTAAAGTAAAAACAACTGTAGGGTCTACAACAAACAAAAAGAAAAAAAAATTGTAGAATAATTATGATAATTAATTTAATTCAAATTTGTGATCTTGTTGAAACCATAATACTATCGCTTCCGGCTATCGCCATACATGTAGCTGGATTAGCAATTTCTATCGCTTGTAAATTTTGCACCATTTCAACAACAAAAATCAAAGAGTTTAGAAAACTTCTACATTTTTCAGGTCAGTAAGTATATTTTTACACATTAAATAGGAAATAAAAAATGTACACGTACATGCATATTGAGGGATATCTTTTACCTCAACATCCAAATGGCTCTTAAGATGAAAGTGCATGCTTTTTTCATGTTTCATGTTTCAGGCACTGACACGCAGTTACAGGTTCATGTACATGTACATCTATTGAAATACCGCAATGTGTACATGTACAGAACTACCTCAATGTGTACATGTACATTTACATGTTTTTACATGTTATTTGACAACAAAATCTGATGCAAAATATGTCCTTTCTCATGCTTTTTCCAGAACACTATTTATGGTATAAGGAAAGCTCTGGCATCTCTCTCTTTAATTGGATGGTGAGTTTAGTTTTGTACTTTTCTTCCAAATGTAAAACTTCAAAGTCAGCATGTAATCCATTCGTGGTTATTCTTAGAACAAGGAAATTTACTTTTTAATTGATAGGTAACGTACATGTAGGTAATGTATCCTGACTGTGTTGGCACAAAAGTGTGTTCTTTTTAAAACTGTTTGTACATGTACATTGTATCTTAATGATTATTTCTTATTTACTAAGAAGTAATCATGTACTTCATGTGTACAGTTTATATTTGGTAAACTCTGTTAGCCAGCACAAATATTTATGAATAAATGGAAAATATCTACCGCTACTGCACATAACTGTTGATTAAAGTGGGACTGCAGTAATTGTAGCTACTCGCGCCCTCTTAGAAACAATGCCTAAGCGGTACCCATTGTTGGTCCCCCATGATCCCCTTTTTCTTATGTTATCAATTGAGAGCTGATTTGATGAGATAACCACCTGCCAGTGACCATGCAGGGAGATCCAATCCCTCCTAGCCAAACTAGTGCAGATACATGTAGGCTTTAACAAGAACAAGAAAATGGTTGCTTTACATTATTTTTTTCCTTTATCCTTTTATCTGGTCAGTGTTTTCATGATAACTGTGATCTGGCTATTTAAGAAGTATGAACTCTTTGTCCAGAGGTTGATTCTTTGGCTCACAGTGGCAGCATTCTTTGGAAGTATATCCAAGTTTTTGGTAAGTTTACATGTATGTGATGTAATAATACCTGTGAGTATATACATGTAATTCCTGTGAGTATAATACCTGTTAGTATATAATTCCTGTGAGTATATAATACCTGTGAGTAGGTATATAATACCTGTGAGTATATATTTAACAAAATGCACAGGTGTTGTGAGCAATTTTGTTCCAGAAAGCTAAAAAGTAGCTACATGTATAATAATATCCTGAAAAAACAGGTGAAAACAAAAGTATGCACACGTAAATGCAAGAAAATCTAACTTTTAAAAACAATTATGTGAAAAAAGGTTCTGTTGACAAAATAGTTCTTTTCCTGCTGGAAGAAGTTACAGGCATGATTTAATAGTATACTTAACATATTGCCAAAATGACATATTTCTATGTTTCTTTTTGACAGTACATGTAACTTTGCATAAAGTGGCGTAAAGTTGTCACATTGTTTATCACTATCATGTATTTGTTTGTGATTGCCTGTCTAGGAAAGCCCAAGAGAGGATAGCCCAGTTTGTAACTTTGAAGCTTGGTGGACACAATTTTGGGGTAAGATCCTTAATCCTATTATAGATACTGTTTGAAAGATTTATATGTATTTATAGGTTCTGTGTATATTATGTAGAATGTTCCAAAAAGAAATGCTTGCCTGCAATGTTGTAACAGATTCATCATCATCACCTGTTCAAAGAAAATTGTTTTTCAAAAGGCTGATTGAGCCAGCCTTTTTAGAGTGGTGAAGTGTGACGTCATCAAAAATCTATTTTTAGAATTTCTCAATTTTTTTATTCATTTTCCAAAAGAGCTCAGTGTTAAAGTGCTCTCGTTCATAACATTAGGAACCAGAGCACTATAAGTATAACACTGAGTTCCCATAGGACATATATTTATTCAGATGGTCATATCTCAGCCAATACTTAACATATTCAATTGGTTTTTGACATTCGGACATTATTTTGTATGCTCTTTTGGAAAATGAAGAAAAAATTGAGAAATTCTAAAAAAAGATTTTTATGTGTCACAGCTTCAGTACTCTATACTCGCATATTCAAGTTTGTGTTTCTTTCTTTGTAGTATCCAAGCCAGAGATCTCCAATTGATCTGCAGTATATTTATTCATGTATCATGTGATTATGCACAAAAGAAAAATCTTTTGGAAGTGATCATGATTATATTCACCTTAATTTTGTTCATCTTTTCTAGTAAACAGACTAGTGTATGCAGAGCATGTACATGATCATGCATCTGTACATCTAAGTGTGAATTATGCAATGATTTCCTTTTCTGTCTTTACATGTAATATGTGCAGTTCATTTTTGTAACATATAAATCAGAAAATATAATACAACAATTTGAAGAGTTACCTTTATTCCCCACTGATATAACTGACTACCGGTACATGTATATATTGCAAAGCTCATTCTTGTTAATCCTTGTTCTTGTGTTCAGACTGGGTGACCCTAATGTGGGTTAGCTGTATCACCTTTAACCTTTACTGGATCACCATCTGGCAAATCAACACCGAGAGAAGGGAAATGTGAGTAGCAGCTAGTCAGTTTATGGCCTAAAATAAAAACTTGTCGTATTGCCCTTTGTGACCGACCCAAAAATCTGAAAATCTACCGTCGGCATTTTAAAAAAGTTTTTTTTTTTTAAACTGTTTTTTAGATTTTTTTTTTTAATTAATGAATAAAAATATATGTATTTTGTTTGTTTAAATGGGATATAAATGCATAAAAACCATGAATAATTATGAGGTGAAAAAGATATCAATGGAATGATGACGCTGAAGCACGTGTATTAAAGCATTAAAAACTGAGAAATATCAGCTAAAAGAGGGCAGGAAAAAGAAAAAGAAACATTAAAATCTGAAAATATCGGCCCAAAGAGGGCGACAAAAAAAGAGTTAAAAACAAAACAAAACTTTTTCGACCGACCGACCCATGTTTTGGCACCCAAAGGGCAATACAACAAGTTTTTTATTTTATGCCTAATAGTCATTTATATGTAATACTGTACAAGCCACTATTTTTTGTGTAGATATTTTTTACGGATGAAGGCAACACAACAATTTTAGTGAGTTCAATCACGTTTTTGTGATAATTTATATGCTTCTTAGGCTTTTTAGGCTTCATAGAATAAATGTTTGCTCATACATGTAACCTTCTCCTATTTGCTAGTAAATTGGGCCAATGTTAGTAGTTGTGAAAATAGCGGTTTTTAAACACAGTTGAATCAAATTTGGAGTCACTTTGTTAGAATACATCTTGTGGGTTTTCTACATCACTGTGCTGTTGCACAATCATTAAATATTAATTCTCAAAGTTATGTTTGTTTTAGTGCATGCATGACTTCTGAGTTTTGTTTTCTATGAAGAAAGTTGAGATTGGTCAGCAAACTACCCTTACCCCCTTCTATTTTCGTAGTTTCTTGCTTGATGACTAGTACATAGTAAGATGGCATTATATCTAAATAGTTATATGAAGAATTACAGTTGAGGCCTGTTAGTAGTCATACACATCAAATACATGTACAATGCTACTGTACATGTAAATGTGTAACAATAATAGTGCAAATTAGTTTTGCTACCATCATGTGCTATCATCTCCAATAATCCTGTTCTTGCACCTGCTAGCCCTGTTCATACATGTACATGTATCTGCCAGCCCTGTTCATACATGTATCTGCCATGCACCTATTCTTAAATCATCGTGATATTTGCGCAGACATGAACGGGTACCAGCAAATGATGATGCATTTTTTTCCTTCCTGCTATGTACACTTATTTTACGGATATTTTCCGTTTCTGGATCTAGTAAAAAATTCAGTAATATTACTGATAGTGAGCGGATGCTGGAGATCCATAATGCAAGGCGGTATTTGTCTCATTGTAGATCCATGCGTATATGAAAGGCAAAATAGTCCCGTGATATGAACGGTGGGCAAAGAAAGTCACTTGCAGAGGCATGCATCGACCTACATGTACTTACAGTATTTGCAGAACTATATGAACAGAGCTAACTAACTGTGATTTAAACGTATTATGATCCTTCCCTCCAGTCTTGAGAGCATTCTTTGTTCTGAAACTGAAAGAAACATCTATTTTTGTTTATCATTTTTATTTATACATTGTTTGTACTTTGTTGTACCATATGTACATGTACATGTACTTGTACATCATACACATTTTTACTAAATCTTGGTATCGATGTGGACATCCCCCCCCCCCCCCCATCTCATTGGAATGTACATTGTTTTTCTTCTTCCTGTTTTGGAATCATTTCATATGCTTTAATACACCACCCACACAAACATACCCTCCCTCCATTTATTTGTTTGTGTGTAATGCATAGTACAGTATGTACTAAATACATGTACATGTACATGTAATGTACATGTACACATTAAAAGAAATAGGAGAGATCTGATGTTGGGGCTCCTAGAAAAAAAATCATTATTCAACATTTAAAATATTGGGGGATTTCCTAGTATAAAATTGTAATGTATTGAAAATTGATCAATTATATAATATGTTCCAGGATACTAAATTTCTACGGGTTGTATAATGGGTGTAGACTTGACTTATTGATTCGTTTTTTAAGCTTTATTTTGACACTGGGATATTTCATTTATTTAAATCCCGTGGCATAACAATAATATACATACAATGTATGTATATCACTCAATGTAAATTAAAGTATGATGTCTGTACATGTAAGCGCAATATTCCTGTAGTATGCTACAGGTGTACAATATTTTTCAACGATGATGTGCTCCAGTAGAAGAGGAAGTTTTCTTGACCTTGATCTCTATTGATTTTCCTTTTCCTTGTAATATCATACTGTACACTGTGCATTGTATGATTACACGTAGTTAGCAAATCTATATTATTTATATACTTACATGTACCAAGTTGTGTAATCTGTTAAGTACACACTCTTATGTGAAAAATTGAATTTTCCTGATTCAGAATTCTTGAGAATGTGACATAACCTAAGCTTAGATCTTAACCCTTATAGGGCCGGGCTATTTGAAGTCTTAGTAGGGCCGGGGGGGGGGGGCCATTATGGCCCCCCCTTAAGATCTCGGCCGCAAAGCGGCCGATCGCCGCGAAAATTTGCACACATGTCAAGTGAAGTGTAAAGAATAATATGATAATTTCAATTTTTTGAAAAATTCACTCATTTGCATATTTATGGTAATTTATGCAAATAAAGTCATAAAAATCACATTTTTACCCATAAATCATATATTATTCATATTTAAGCATTCTTTTTCACTAAATATATTCATTAGACCATTCTGAATAATAATACGACAAAAATTTTGGAAGAGCCAGCTTATTTCTTATGTTATCCCTTGTTTTGATAATTTCTTATGTATTTCATTGTTTTTTTAACTTATGTATTTCATTGTTTTTGTTGTTTTATTTCATCTTTTACTACAATTCAACTATTTTGACTCCCAAAACAACCACCTAAACTTTAAACAAGACCCAATAACCCATGTTTGATCTATTTTTAGGAAAAATGACTTTGCCATACGTTTTGTACACAAATCACGAAAATGAGCGATTTTCAGGCTGACATGCAAAGACAAAAGGTCACGTGACCTTGTAACCGTAGGTCCGATTTTCAAAAAAATTATTTTAAAAGTTGCGCAAGACTCGAAAGAAAAAAGTCAGCGAGCGGCGGGGCGCCATCCATATGCGTTCTCGAGCAATCAGAAAAATTGTGGAGGGGGGGGGGGGGGCCATAATGGCCCCCCCCCGGCCTTATTAGGGTTAAAGCATTCCACAAAGGCCCTAATTCAACCGGTCCACCTTTCATTTTTGAGTTACTGTAGTTTATGTAGGGAATGGTAACAGGAAAGGATTTTGAAAAGGAGAAGAGGAGGAGGGAATATACATGTACATGTAAATGAACAGAATGAAAATGAATAACAAATATATAAAGAGGAAAATAAGTATCATGTGTACAGTGTATATCGTAAAATGAGAGAGACAATAAAATACAGATACATGTAAGAGGTGGAGGAGGAGGGAGAAGAGGGGAAAATGAAAGGAGAATTAATAAGAATTGGAAAAGATAGAATATTAAGAGTCACAGACGGAGGAGAAGGAGAGGAGGAGAAAGAAGAAAAAGAAGAGAAATTAGAAGTAGGATTCGAAGGACAGAGGATTTAGGGAAAAAAGAGACAAGAATTAAGCAAAAGGTACATGCACATCATGTAAACAAGATATTAGAATAAGAAGAAACTATTGCATAGCATAGAAATGACACAAATCAATTTTTTTTTCTTCTTTTTTTTCTTCATGATATTCAGATTCTACCATCTAGTAACTTGGGGGGTTTCCCTGCTCATGGCTTGTTTACCTTTGATTGGTAATCATTATGGACCAGCTGGAGCTTGGTGGTAAGTTACAAAGCATTGGTTTTCTTTTAATTCTTTCTTTTTATATACCGCATATGAAGACTCCAGGCTTCCGATTGGTCATAACTGCTGATCAGCCATGCACAAAGAAGACGAAAGACTTGATGCATGGCTGATCGTCAACAAAACAGAGTTAAGTCTTTTGTCAACTCTGTTTGTTGCTACGGCAGGCAGCCAGTGAAAAAGAATTTGTTTAATCAAATTTATAGGAATGCAAGCATTACTTTAAACGAGCAGAACTTTGTTATTCCTGGTTCATTTTTTCCTGATTGAGGTGTCATACGAAAGGGCAGAAAATGAACTTTCTAGAAATGTGATTTTCTCTTTAAAATTCAGATACCACCCGCCAAATGACTTTTTGGTACCCTCTCTTCAATTTTTTTTAATCACTCATGCATAAAATATGCATCAAAGGAGTTGTATCAAATAAAAGAGGAGGATCTATTAAAGCTTTACAAATCTGTGTCATTTGTTAATTATAATTGTGATCAAGTTATATCAATAATTCTCGGTTTCGTTTTTTCTGGGATGCACTCTATATTGGTTTTGATGAAAATAGATACTAATGATTTTCTTGTTTTATTATTTGTTTTTGTCTACCGGTATTCTTCTTCTATGTACCTGATACTATCTTTTCTGTATTTAGAAGGAAAAAAAATCTGTTTCTCTCTCTCTCTCTCTCTATCTCTTTCTTATTCATATTCCCTCCTTTCTTCTTACTGTTGCTGTCTTGACGTTTGTCCTCATGCAGACTTGTCCTTCTATTTACTCTCTCATTTCATGTGTGTCTCTCTCTGTCCCTCACTTTCATTTCTCTCTCTCTCTCTCTCGCCCTCCCTTTCATTTCTCTATCCTCTCTCTCTCTCTCCCTACATTTCATTTCTCTATCCTCTCTCTCTCTCTCTCTCCCTACATTTCATTTCTCAATCCTCTCTCTCTCTCTCCCTACATTTCATTTCTCTATACTCTCTCTCTCTCTCTCTCTCTCCCTACATTTCATTTCTCTATACTCTCTCTCTCTCTCTCTCTCTCTCCCTACATTTCATTTCTCTATACTCTCTCTCTCTCTCTCTCTCTCTCTCTCTCTCATTGTCATACAGCATGTTTCTATTGATATATTGAATTTATCCGGTAAATATGTTTTCCAGAAAATAGCGTATAATGCCAGGGAAGGGCAGTTTCTATCTACGCGTATTATCCGGATAAATACACTGCTCCAATTTAGCGGGTTAAAAAGCCGTAAATAAAAGTTCATCAAACTTTGGTTATTAGGTCACCGCGTGCTAGGTCAACCTGGGATTTTAGTGTCGGGGTAAAATGTTCCGATCACGTGATCACTCCGATTTCCGGTTTCTCTCTGTTATGTGCTCTCAGTACTCACGTTATCAGGTTAGCTTCTCCTGCGTTATCCTTCTAAAAGAAGGATATTTTGCCTGTGAACGTCACAGCTCTCACGGCCATTATCCGGAAAATAGCGGAGAAGGTCAGTTTCTATTAGGCAAAATTCATCCTTTATCGGCCATTAACCAGATAATGGCTTCTAATAGAAACACGCTGATAGTCTCTAATCATTTACACCATGCATTACATTTAATTCTTCTTAATTTTTCTTCAACAGTTGGATACCAGCAGAGTACCCCTTATGGCGATTCTTCATGTAAGTTTATTTACAATTTACTTTTTATTTAATAGATGTATTTGGCTGTTCAATTGGAGCATATTGAATCCTTTGCCCACATGAACCGAGTATTAAGCTTATGTGATTGAAAGAATTTGGTAGTCAACAGGGGAACAAATATAATTATTAAGACTCACATACTTGTTCTGAAATCCACAAAATTCATGTTCATGTTATTAGCCCATGCCCTAATCATGTTAGATTTATTTTACTTATTTAATAAGAATTTAAGAAGGCACAACTATTTGTAAAAGAAATAATGAAACAAAGCTTTTAAATATATCCTTGTATCTGTATTTTCCTTCTACTTAAGGTGGTATGGGCCACTATTCTTGCTGATAGTTCTCATGTTTGTTGTTTATGCCTACATCACATACAAGCTGAGAAGAAGGGTAAGTGTATCTCCTTGAAACAACATCAACATGATATTATACATCTTATTTTGTTATACATGTACATAGCGCTTAAAGACTTCGGTGGTAAGCGCTTTATAAGCACCATTTTTATTATTATGCATGGATAGGCACTGTCAATTAATGCCCGGAGAAGAAAAGGAAACAAATAACTGGCACTATGAACATGACGGACAAAGAAAGAGGACAAAATATACAGTTCCTTAATCTACCCTCAACAATTGCTGTGGTAGGCAAAGGAACATCCCTTCACTGCTATTATGTAAAAATTTGTAGAACAGGTGTCACATGCATATTCACCTGTTTTACACATTTTTACATAATAGCAGTGAAGGGATGTTCCTTTGTCTACCACAGCAATTGTTGAGGGTAGAATGAGGAACTGTATATTTTGTCCTTTTTCTTTGTCCGTCATGTTCATAGTGTGGTATCCCCCTCCCCTTCCATAGCGAGTCTGTGAGTGTTCACAGGATTCCTGAAATTATATTCCTATGGGTAATTTAAAAACAAATCTGAAAAAATGCTTTTAATACAATTTTTTTTCTCAGAAATTAATGATGCTATAAGATATAAGTACAACGTTATATGACACATACTTCATCTCTCCGTGTTATATTATATTATTTATGGGGTAGATACCAAAGGCTTCAAGATTATTCTACTGTTTCCCAGTGCAAGATTAATCTATACCAGTGTTAAAAGGTTTTGTCATGGAGCTAGCCTAGACAGGAAATCTGTAACTTTGCAAAGCTATTTTGTTGCAAAAAGCAATATTTCCCTATATTGGTGCCTATTAGTTGGTGGTTTGTGATTTATTATAAAAAGGAAACCTTTTAATTATGTGACTCTCATGAATATTTCCCCCTGTACATGTACCTTCAATAATTCATTATCATTTCAAATCTCTTGTGTGTGCTAAAAAAGTTTGATCATCAAAATGTAAAGGGCACCTAAACCACTAATTTGAAGTCATCCCTTCCTGATTTATTCATGAAGTGAGGTTTAATTCCAGTTTTTAATGATGTCCCAGCTGGATCATTGCAATTAAGTTTCATGAGGCATGACAACTTTGTGATAAGAATGCATTTAGATGAACTTTTCAGTATAAGTAACCATTCAGCATGCAATTTGTCAAGGAGGATGTATGCAATGTAGGTGCACATTCATGTACAGGAGCATATATTAAAGAGCTGTAACATTTTACCCATGAGAGAGCATGAACAGGAAGATAACAGGGATCATTGTTAAGTTGATGATAGTAAAAGGGGAGTGGGAAAGGGACTGAAGAAGAGGAGAGGGGATGGGGGAGTTAAGAAGGAATGGGAGGAGGAGGAGGAGGAAGAGGAAGGGGGAGGGGGAGGGGCAGAGGGAGGGGCAGAGGAAGAGGAGGGGAGTGGAGGAGAAGGGAGAGAGGAGGGGAGAGGAGGGGAGTGGAGGAGAAGGGAGAGAGGAGGAGAGAGGAGGGGAGTGGAGGAGAAGGGAGAGAGGAGGGGAGAGGAGGGGAGTGGAGGAGAAGGGAGAGAGGAGGGGAGAGGAGGGGAGTGGAGGAGAAGGGAGAGAGGAGGGGAGAGGAGGGGAGTGGAGGAGAAGGGAGAGAGGAGGGGAGAGGAGGGAGTGGAGGAGAAGGGAGAGAGGAGGGGAGAGGAGGGGAGTGGAGGAGAAGGGAGAGAGGAGGGGAGAGGGGGTGAGTGGAAGGGGAGAGAGGAGGGGAGAGGAGGGGAATGGAGGAGAAGGGAGAGAGGAGGGGAGAGGAGGGGAGTGGAGGAGAAGGGAGAGAGGAGGGAGAGGAGGGGAGTGGAGGAGAAGGGAGAGAGGAGGGGAGAGGAGGGGAGTGGAGGAGAAGGGAGAGAGGAGGGGAGAGGAGGGGAGTGGAGGAGAAGGGAGAGAGGAGGGAGAGGAGGAGAGGGGAGAGGAGGAGGGGGAGAGGAGGGAAGTGGAGGAGAAGGGAGAGAGGAGGGGAGAGGAGGAGAAGGGAGAGGGAGAGAGGTGGGAGAGGGGAGGAAGAAGGGAAGGGAGGAGAGGAGAGAGAGGAGAGGGAGAGGGAGGAGAGGGAGGGGAGTGGAGGAGAAGGGAGAGAGGAGGGGAGAGGAGGGGAGTGGAGGAGAAGGGAGAGAGAGGGGAGAGGAGGGGAGTGGAGGAGAAGGGAGAGAGGAGGGGAGAGGAGGAGAAGGGAGAGAGGAGGGGAGAGGAGGGAAGTGGAGGAGAAGGGAGAGAGGAGGGGAGGAGGAGAGAGAGGGGAGAGAGGAGGGGAGAGGTGGGAAGTGGAGGAGAAGGGAGAGAGGAGGGGAGAGGAGGAGAAGGGAGAGAGGAGGGGAGAGGAGGGGAGTGGAGGAGAAGGGAGAGAGGAGGGGAGAGGAGGGGAGTGGAGGAGAAGGGAGAGAGGAGGGGAGAGGAGGGGAGTGGAGGAGAAGGGAGAGAGGAGGGGAGAGGGGAGTGGAGGAGAAGGGAGAGAGGAGGGGAGAGGTGGGAAGTGGAGGAGAAGGGGGAGAGGAGGGGAGAGGAAGGATAATGAGGAAGAGGAAGACAAATTGAGAAATAATCTTGAAGACAAAAGCTGAAAGTTATAGAATCTAGCTGTACATCTAGATATAGTTATTGCACAGCTCGAGAGCCCTCTTTTGATGTAATTGTAATGATATGTACATGTACTTATTGTTGTTATTGTTTATATATATGTCCTTTTTGCAATATTTACTGATAAAATTTTAGTTATTTGATATTTTAACTTATGTATTTATTCATTACTGCTATTTTATTATGTATATTTGATTAGAATTTTATCTTGTACCCAAGACAGTTTGGACTGTTTGCTCTTGGTTTTCGATGTTTTGATTTCATAAAAATTTTTGTAGAAATCATGGTGTTGAAATTTATGCATCAGATGGGGAAATTAATGAGAACAATGAGAACTTACACAAATGATAATGCTCACTCAACAACAGTTAGCATTCTTGTAGGATAACAGCTCCCATCGTCTTTCTGTTGCCATAGATACGAAGCTGGCAGGGGACATATGAGCCTGAAATAGAGAGAAGCAGACAGCTCATACGAGAGGAGATCAAGCCCCTTAGAGCATATCCATTCATCTATCTTGTGCTTTCCATCTTTCCACTTATAAACAGGTAATATAAGAATTCAGGGTTGTAAAGCAGGGGTTGTATTCTAAAAACAATGTTATCTTTTACATTAGTAAAACAATGTAAATTGTCATAACTAATCAGAATTGGAATAAGTCAATGTCTGTAGAAAGCTGGCTCTGTTTGCAGAAAGCTAAAAGAGACATCTGATATTTTAATCTGATGGTAAGTGTTAATTCCACGCAATTTCAGTTTGTTTCCGCAATAACTTGTTTTCCTGATATAAAGAGATTCTAAAACATTGTTTTCAGAATATGACCTTGAACTCAGAAACATGTAGCTCCAAACATTTTTTCAGACTTTTGCCCTTAGATTGCTATTCACACTTTATAGTTTAAATCTGTTGTACGGTACTCAAAAAGGCGTGGGGTGGACTAGGGGCCAATTTGACCCCCAAGTCTCTCATAGTGTATTAGGTATGTTAAACGCATACATTTATTATTGCATGGGTATTGACATGTGATTAAAAAGTACTAGTGCACATTTTGTTGATGAAACATTGATTAAACATTACATTATCACAATTTAGTAAAAATAGATGTGTTTAACATGCTATAATGGTACAATATAACTTCATTAATTAACCCTTGGGATAGGTTAATTGGTATGAAATCAGAAAAATAAGATAAACAGAATCACAAAAAATTTGAAATGAGTTGGAAGAATAATAAGAAAGCTATAAATGTTTGAATTCTGAGAGCACTATAAAGTCTATGTGAATCTCAAATTAGCAGTTTGGTCAGTGGGTTGTGATATACATGTAGTCTCAGTAACTCTCCTGTTTGTTGTGTATAAAAATACCATTAATTCCTGTTTTTCTCCTATTAAGTGCCTTCTCCCTTGGCAAACTATTCACATTATGAATAGCATATGTACTGTAGGTCCTCTTTAAAAAAAAAAAAAACGTCTGAGCCATGCATTTTTTTTAAATTGACATTTTTAGTCATTTTGTGTGTTGGTACAAATGGGAAAGTAGTCCGCCACTATATTTCATGGACATTATTAACTCAGCAAATTTGTGATGCCCCTGCTTGTACATGTACATGTATGTATAGCGAATCTAACTATAAAAAACCATAGCTTTCTCTTTTTATGTCTGAATTCATTCAAAATTTCACCAGTCTACCTCTCTGATTTATCTGCTTTCCTTTAGAGTAGTTTGCTCATTTTGACCCCACCATTTTTGAACTCTTCCTTTATCACCTAGGATTCAGAATGCTGTGGCTCCAGACAATGCCATCTTTGTGCTCTATCTCTTCCATGCTTTGTCCTCTCCCTTGGTTGGTCTGGTCAACGCTATCGTCTATGGGCTTGACCCAGAGACACGAAGTCGTTTATCGTGGACTCAAATAAAGGTAAGGTCAAAACTTCCTTTGACCATTCTTTTTTTGTTTTAAACTCCAGGACAATTCCAAAAATGTTCATGTGTATGTTCGGATTTATACTTTGATAGAAAAGGAAAACAAATCTATACAAGCACATGTATCTTTAGACTCAGTGGCTTTTTAGACAATATTGGTGTTCCACAAGGATCTCTTATTGGTCCTATATTTTTTATTAAATGTAAGGAAAAGGATAAATTGTTAATATTTTTGATTTTCGAAGCACCTTTGAAGACTCAAATAAGGTACAAAATATGACCAATGCTAATGGGTCTTTGATATTCCCCCTCCCCTTCCCTCAAAAAGATATATACTGTTTTTGGTTTATAATATAAATAGCATTGAATGGCAAAGTTTCCCAGCATCCTTGCAGGTCTTTTGTCCCGTGGTTATAGGATAGAAAATGTTAATTAATCTCTTGCCAAAAGCAATAATCAGCAACTTTAATAAATTTAAACCCTGACCTTTCATTTTAGGTTCATGATTTATGTTGGAGACACAATCAGAGTCTCAATCTGTACATACTCGATACAGCTCATGCTTTATTTATCAAAGAAGCATGTGCATACATGTGTTTTCTATATTTCTTTTCATAATAAAAAAATAAACCATATTTCTCAGTATATCCAACATTCTTAACTTTTGGCATTTGACTGTTACATGAGCATTCAATATACATGTACCATAATTGCCAGAGCTAACCCAAGTCAAAGTCAGACGTATAATCTTGCTAATATTGACTATATTACCATATTTTGACAAACTACTTATTTATCGAAAATAATATTGCTAGTGATATTTGTTTGTCTGCAACACTTCGTCAGGTGATAACATATAATGTTTTACACTCTACGGGCAGACTGCGGTCGATATCCCCAAATTTTGGATGCGTACAATACGCCGCCATGACACTCCCCGTCCAGCCGGCTCGCACCGAGCCAGTGGCCCATTGATTGGTTGAGGACCTGTGTGCCTTGCCCAATAGGCCGTGTCCGTTATTGTTCTAATTATTGATCAAATTATTTGACCGACGGTCTGCCCGTAGAGTATAAAACACGCTTGCTTTCATTATATTTTATCACCTGACGAAGTCATCAGTGTTGCAGCGGCGCACGAAACGTGATCTTTTAGATCCTTTGTTGACCATACATTGCGAGACAAACGGATATCACTAGCGACATTATTTTCGATACTACATGTACATCCGCGATGTGTAATATATTTAGCATTACTTATCACTTACTTCAATTATCATTCATACTGTCTTGTGTTTTCTGACATACCTGTATTTCAATTTTATAAACTACAGGAATAAACAATGTTCATCATATTTCTCCCTTCTCTTGAGGCTCCTTTCTAATATTAAATAAAAAGTTTCACCCTTGAAAACTAAAATCAGGGATTATTTTTAGCTCTAGTGGAGCTACATGTGGCAGCTGTATATCTGTATTTTTTTAAATGAAAAATAAATAAATATGCACTTGCATCATTTGGGTAAAAGATAAACCTGGCTAGTTTGTAATGTATCAAAGAAAATAATTTTGGTAGCATATCGCTCCCTCTCTCTCAATTTACATGTACCTTCTATTTCTCTCACTACCTATTCCTGATTCTCTCTCTCTCTCTCTCTCTCCCTCTCCCTCTCTCCCTCTCTCTCTCACTCTCTCCCTCTCTCTCCCTCTTTCGCTCTCTCTCTCTCCCTCTCTCTCTCCCTCTCTCTCGCTCTCTCGCTCTCTCGCCCTCTCTCTCCTTTGTAACTCACTACAATTGTTGGCAGCTAGCTGCATCTTTGCTGTAATGTAATATTACTTATTAAGCACATTGTGTGCATTAGTACATCATGTACATGTACATGTACATGTATGTCTGTCTGTCAGATCACACACATTGTAGTGTAGTGTCACATTGTATTGCACTGGTATCTGGGTCTATTAACTACATGTATGTCATACATGTACATCATTATACAACTACTTCTATGAGCATTTATCAAATTACAGTTCCTTTCAAATTGCTGGCCAATACAATGGATGGGCCAAACATGTCTCTGGCTTTAATATATACATGTATGTCAAAAATATGGCTTGAGTTTGGGTTAGGGTATGATGTGTTTTAAATATTTGGGGCTGGACTTTGAATTCAACTAGTGTAAAACAGTTTAGCAAGGAGCAATTTTCAATGGAGCATGCATGTATCATGCAATTTGTTATAGATTGAATATGAAGAGGATAATTAATGAACAAGTACATGATTGTTGAAAATTGCATTATTATCCAAGAAAATATCCTTTCGGGCCTTGCCTATAGAGATGGTACAGGAGAAGTGAGTAAAATCCGTATGTGGAGACTTTTCCAAGTGCGCTAAAAGTGTGGTGATTGGCTTATTAAAACAATAAGGTGCGGTCCGATTGGAGTAACTAAAATAACACTCTTGTTGCTGGGTGGTTCCATGGATGAAATTAACTCAGATAATGTTTAGAATGTGCAGCTGTAGATTGTTATTGTTATTGAAGCTGGCTGAACGGAAAGTACTAACGAAAAGGATGCTTAAAATGCTGAGTATTTACAATGTTGATAAACATTTGTGACCTTAGTAAAGTTCAAGTCACTACAAGTACTTAGCAATTGCTTGGGTCACACGTTCCTAGACATGCTTGCCTATTTGAGAAAAATGATTGTGTTATTTTAAATGTACATGAAGTGTAGATTTTTGTAACTCAAGAAGTGGCTACAGAGGCTGTTCCTTTCAACCACTTTTAATAAATCCTGTCTAATTCCAAGATGGAATGAAATATAACATATAAATGGAGACTTTGTACATATACTTTGATAGTTCTTCAGATTCTTACTTTTGTGAAAATCATGTACCGTATGTTATCTTCTTGATAATAAGTGTTTTCTTTGAGTTACAAGGTTCAATGTCAGTTTCACCATAAAGATGATGCAAAGCTAGGCCTACCTAAAAAAAGATATTGCATTGCCCTTTGCGAAAGACCCCAAAACTCTTGAAATCTACGGTCGGCTTTTTAAAAGTTTTTTTTTTACCGCTTTTAGAGAAACCAATATTAAAGCATTCAAAACTTATAAATATTGGCCAAAAGAGGGAGGAAAAAAAAAGAAAGATTTCTGACCGACCGACCCACCGACCCATGTTTTGGCTCCTAGAGGTTATTATCCAATACAACATCTTTTTTTTTTGGGGGGGGGGGGCCTGATGATTGCTCTCATTCTCCTACTGTATGTATGTATACATTGTGTATGTGTTGGATTTTCATCTTACCGCATCACAGGGTGCCCTTCAGAAACGTACGGCCCACCAACCTATCCGGGAGTACCCCTTGGTCTCTGCCCCCGAGACGCCCGATTTTGAAGACGTCTCAGTCCTGGCGATGAGACCGTCGATGAAGAGCAACCAGTACCAGCACTTAGCCATGGCCTAGCTAGGGTCGTAACCTTTAACCTCAGCCTATCATGTTAGTCCAATGCATCTATATTCATGTATGCTTCTGCCTGACTGCCTGTTAGTAGTTCACATGTAGTCCCTTGCATGCACTTTTATGTAATGATTGATCTTTGGTTTTATGTATTACTCTGCCCTTTTGTCACCTATGTACTGTAGATGCTAGTTCATTACTCAATATAACATGCACATAGGTATGCATTATGCTTTTAGATGCAGTCAACACTCTTTGAACATAATGCATTGCATGTTGCATTGCATCGATGTTTCTTTGATGTTCATGCTTTACAATACTTTTTCGTGTTGATAACGATTATGTGAATTTAGAGATGTAGAATTTGGTTATGTTTCAATTTGATTTGATTTTTAATTGGATTGAATTTTCACGCAAGCACAAATTCACTCAATTACACAAGTATTTAGCCAACTAAAGTTGCAAGCCATTATGTATCATTAATGAACCCTACATATCATTAGCGAGGCAGTTGTATAGAGTACTAATGCAAACACATATGTTGTTTAAATAATCCTTAATCCTGAACGAGAAAAATGGAAAAGGAAGATGGAACACCCACCTGCTATCCTTACACAATTTCCTTGTTCTTTTCCACTCATGTAGATGTATCCTAGAAAGTTTGTTGCCTCTCCCCCCCCCCCCCCCGACATCAGTATGCCCTCACAGACAGAACCCATGTGACATCGAATCGAGCATTGAATTATTAAAAGGTCACTGATAAGTCAACAAAAGAAAATGAAAAGCTCATCAAATAGCTATTTCAAATTGAATTGAAAAGTAATGATGACACATCTTTCACAGGATTTTCATTCATTTCGATTTTTAATTTGCCTGTTTAGTTTTCCTACTGTCCTTTGATACAGCATTTCTTTATACGTATAATTGTTGTTATCATTGTTCTTGTGATTCTGTTAGTGTTACCATGACATTGATATTGATTATTTTGTTACTGTCAGTCCTCGACTCATAATCGTGTCCCATTATAGAGACAATCTCTTTATGTTTGTTGGTATCATTTTCATGTTGAGTTACATTATGAATTGTTTTAGTTTCTTAGAGTTGTAATTTTTCTTGTCATGCCTCTTTTCAACTTGCATTTCACATTTTATATTTTGTGAAATGAGTTTGCTTCTGCACATACTTGACTACCTGACTTAAGCCGTCCACACCATCACTGGGATGTATGATGGCTTCTGTTTCACTATGGCTTGCCACACACCTTCCTGTCTTCTGTTAGCCTCATGGCTTTAATCAGGGAGTCAACTTGTCTGTTATGCACATACCTGTACATGTAGTTTATAATTAGAATCACAATTAAATTTTATCAGACTATTTCAGTGTCTGTTCTGTACTGTTAATTCTCACTCGTCTAGTCGTTTCTGCTTTACTACATGTTTATAATTTGAGGATACATTTGGAAGTGAAGAAGTTTACCATCATTGTAATTAATTAATTTCATTTGGAAGATCTACATTATTAAAGAAGCCCACAGGAAAGGAAAAATTTGTTGTAGATATGTTTTTAAGTCATAAAGATTTTTAAGAAAGGGAACAATGGGATCCTTTATTTGAGCCAATAACTCTTTAATGCAAATTTACGTGTAGATTCCGCATTATGGATCTCTGTATGTTACTATTGCATTATTTACTGTAGAACACTATTAGAATTGGCATGTGATGTACAACATTACATTGTCTTGAAGATCTTTCACAAATGATAAAAAAAACGTGAGTCCTCAAATGTCATAAAGTTTTTCACTTTGACCTGTCATTGTAGGGGCACAAATGTACCAAACAATCACATAGTAGCAACATGTGTATAGTAAATATGAAGCATTGTCAGATTGAGAAGGGCTGTGTACTCGGAGAGTATTATTGCATCACAGTATTCCGGCAATATGAATGTGACATTTTGATTTGAGAGAATTTTGCATGAAAGGGAACTCTTTGGATTTTTGAATCTCCTTCATATATGATTTCATGTAAAATCAATTACATTGATGTCTCCCCCTCTCTCTCTCTCTCTCTCTCTCTCTCTCTCTCTGTCTGTCTGTCCTGTCCTGTCCTTTTTCTTCTTTCTTCTTCACTCTTCTCTCAGCTTGCACTCCGATCAAGACGAGCCAAAAAGCTGTCATCAAAGAGTACACCATTCAGAACGAGATGCCTGCTCCGGACGCCCCGCCCACAGAAATCCCGGACCTAGCCAGCCCTCAGCCTGAAGATGGGCTCACAAACCCACCGTTTTGACCAGTCCTCTGGGGGAGGAGACAAGGGGGACTCTGGTGGAGGAGAGGGGGGCGTGTCAGAGGTGGGAGGGGCCGGTGAGGTTAATGAGGGAGCGGACACCAGTGAGACAGGTGCAAGTTTGAATGTTTAACCCCTTTTTGACTTCCGGTATTACATTCTCATACTTCCGTAGGCTTACTACGAGGGTTACCAGTTTTCAATGGTATATTATTGTTAATCCAGAGAAGCCTCATCAGCAACAACGATGTTGTTATGGCTTAATTAAAGGTGGGATTATTTGTAGGGGGAGGGGAGGGAGAGAGAGAGAGAGAGAGAGAGAGAGAGAGAGAGAGAGAGGGGGGGAGGAAAGAGAAGAGAAAGAGAGAAACAACAAAAGGGGGGAGGGGGAGAAAGAAGAGTAGGGATGAATACATATTGTTGATTGATACCGGTACATCATGTGAAAACAATGCCAGTTCATATTCTAATATACTGTAAATTCAAATATTATAGATATGCTCCAACAGAGAGTGGACAAAGGAATTGTGCTTCAGTGTAATGGCTTATTATGTGTATATTGCGCTCATATTGCGCTCATGGTGATTATCCCGGTTGTAGCGAAGCTGGGCGGTACAGGTGTATTCTGAAAATGTTTATCTATTACATGTTTTTTGAAGGAACAAAATAGATGTTAATTTTCATAACAAATCAAATTAGGACAAGTCATTTGTTAGTACGGTCTGCCTGAAGCAGGGCTGTGTTCGTGTAAACTTAATAGAGACATCTGCTCAAGGCTCGAGCCTAACCCAGAGAGGAAGGAAACCTTTCTTCCCCTTCCCCAAACTGATTACAAGCCAAGAATCTGATTATGGAGTTAAAGGGATTGGGTACCTTTGCCTCAGATTCTAAAAAAATCATGGATTTAGCTCATGCTGCAATCATAATTATAAACCTTTAGGTCATACATAAATCCCATGACTTTTACAAAGTCAATCGCCTGTCTGATTATCAAGATATGTATGATTGGAATTAGAAATTTCAGAACTTGTTTTCCTGACATTTTTTTTTATAACACTACAGTCTATTGGGGAAAATGAGTATGTTAAAACCGGTCACTCAGAGATTTATAGTTTTTTGAGGCACTTCATGATCATTTTGAAGCCCCAATTTGTGTAGGGCTTCAAATTAACACCACAGACACTGATAACAGGTGCTGCCATGCATCTCAGATTTAACATTGTTAAACGATTGCCTTTAAAAAAGAAAGGAAACCATTATTCCTTTTCAACTTCCTCTGCCTGCATCAAGAACCAACACTAGCCTCTGAAGATCGAGTGGCCTAAATATTCAAGCAGAGATTAACAAACCCAAATGACAACAACAATTACCAATGGCAGGTGTTAGCTCCTTTCAATTTCAATTTGTTTTGACAGTTATTATCATTTTCCCAAACATTAAATATAACACCGCTTTTTAAGAATATGGCCAGTATATGTGTACGTGCTATTTGAATCTGTGACTCCAAACCAAAGTATTTATTAGATACGTGTATTATGTCATTCAACTGAATAAAGTGTCATTGAAAGAGTACTAACATATTGAATTATATATAGCATGCATTTTGAATAATACAATGTGTATAACTCATCCCTACATATGTATATATAGTATCTTGATATAATGTAGCTAAACCTTTGCTATGAATGTACATGTAATCAGCGCTTTGCAGTTTGGATCTTGGGCGCCTCATGTATGTTAATCTAACAATAAAACTGTTAAGTAATAGATGTATTTCTGTGTCCAATTCGATGTATACAATAATACAAGTCTCTCACAAAAGGAAAACATGTTTAAGAGAAAGTTGAGTTCTGGGAAGAGGTGAAAAATAATTTGTGAGCGTTATCATTCTTATTATGCAAGTGTGGAAGAACATCAGATAAGACACGTTCCCTGAAAAGCATGGCTCTTCAAATGCCTTCATATTCTAAATATCTCATGTAACATCGTAACAATCCGGGTAGGATTTTTACGCCACGTGTTTGTGTAGTCCCATATACATCTTTCTGTGTACAGTGTTTGTAACTCTACCAAGACTGGGCCAAATTTCTTATCATTTGATGATTCCAGAACCTTGCAATACACACAAATTCTTATATGCTAGATGATCAACCTTTTCTGGTCGATTCCACAACGTTTCTTTCGCAATGCAATCGCATGACCAGAACTCAACTTCATTTTAATATCTGTTTAAAATGTGACTGGTAACCCCAAATCATGTCTGAAATATTTGAAATATATCATGTCTTACATGTAAATATTTAAATGATGAGAAGTATATATTCCTAATGCTTACAACTAGCCACTACTCCAGTCCTTGCAAGATGTACCATGGACGGCATATTCAGTATTTATCAGTCTCATCAGCAGCGCTTTTGTCTTTGATTAGGCAAATAGATATTGGTGCTCTACTAATTGAATCCTGGATTGGATCAGAAAGAGAGTTTCCCCCCTTTTTAATCTCTACATATGTATGTTTTGCTGACCATTTCTGATGGCATGGAAACTATAAATTTAGAATAGTAACCGCGAGTCATTTTTCCAAAAGTTTTTACTGTAACTATGACTACCGGTATAACAATATGGAGTAGCCCCGCCCAGTTGTGTTAATATTAAGTCGGTGCTTTCCATGTTCTTTATTTTTGATAGCTCAAAAAAATGTGTCTTTCAAACTTGTTATACAGTTTTTCTGTTATTGTTATGCTTGTCAATGTTAAATTAATATACAGTGGAACCTTGTTATAAAGAACATTGATGTACATGTATTTGTAAAAAGGTATTGTTATAGCTAGTTTCAGGGGCGTACGCAGGGGGGGGGGGTTTTTTGGGGTTCAAACCCCCCCCCCCCCTTTGGTATTTTTATGTGTGTAAACCCCCCTAAAAAAAACCAAACCCCCCCCCCCCCCCCCTTTGGTTTTTTTATTTTTTTTTTTATTTTTTTTATTATTAAAAAAAAAAAAAAAAAAAAAATTATACCCACGGTTAACCTAAAAAAGGTGACCTTACCCCCCCCCCAACGAAGAAAAAATGTCAAATTTTGAATTTCGACCAAAAAAAAAAAAAAAGTGTCCGCTTGCCCCCCCCCCCCCCCCCCCCCCCCCCCCCCCACCCCCCCCCCCCCCCCCCCCCCCCCCCCCACTGAGCGACTTTTCGGCTGGCTGAGTCGTTGCGATTTTTTTTGGACTCCCAAAAAAAAAAAAAGTGTCCGCTTTACCCCCCCCCCCCCCCCCCCCCCCCCCCACTGAGCGACTTTTCGGCCGGCGCGATTTTCAAATTTTCGGGAGCAAAACCCCCCCCTTGAAAAAATGCTGCGTACGCCCCTGGCTAGTTTCATATAAACTATGCCGTTGTTTTGGTTTTCTTTTTTGTTGGTTTGTTTAATAACAAGGTAATTAATTTCCTTGGTTCCAAACTAATTCAGTCAAACTTGATGCAAGGACTAAAGTCATGTTATAAACCCTAGTTTGACCTCAGTGTCAGTTTTATTATTCTGTATTACAATGCAGATCAAGGCTTTTAAGGTTCAGCTTCATGATGATGCTGCAAGTCGGTGCAAATATTAACAATGGACATTCATTTTGTAAATGTATTATTTTTTTTTGGTGTATATATGTAAACAGTGAATATCAGTTATTGTACATGTACCGGCATGTGTATTTAGTAATATGTATATTTTCTTATATGATCATTTATGTTAATATATATCTGTACCTTGTATACAAATATTAATATACTGTACATGGAAACATTACTTACTGATGTGAGAATTTATCATGTTCCAAATAACGATGGGTCACATGCAGGCGCGTACACAGGGGGGGGGGGGGGTTGGGGGGGTTAAACCCCCCCCCCCTTTTGATTTTTTTTTTTTTAATAATAAAAAAATAAAATAAAATGGCTAACCCAAAAAAGCTGACCTTAACCCCCCCCCCCCCACGAAGCAAAATGTCAAATTTTCAAATTTCGAGACCAAAAAAAAAGTGTCCTCTTACGGAAGATTGGCCAGCTTAAACTGCGGAAGTAATAAATTATTGACAGATGTACTTTAATGATCTATTCTATACATTTCAAAAATTCTCATTTAAAAAAAAAGAGAATTTAATTGTATCATTGCTTAATCTCTTCTAAATTTATGTGTTTTCTCTTGACTATTTGCAAGAAAACTTCTGGCAACCACTGATGCTAATAGGAAATACATGTAAAAGAAATATTTCATTTGTAACCACAATGTAATTGGTTATTCAAAATTGATCTAAATATACATATATTGAAGAAAGATCTGCCAAATTATTTTTGAAAATATTGTTTTACATTGAAACAAGCAAGGTGACATTATTTGAACAACAAAAAAGGCAAAACCACAATTCAGAATATAAGACAGCATGGTAAATCGAAAATAGTTCAAGGTTTCATTTTTGATTAAATATTGATGATGAAGGTAAAGATGATGATGATTGCGATGTTGATGATTAAGTTGATTAATGTGATAGTTAACATGGTGATGATGTCCCGATAGTGAACGTGAAGGTGGTGGTGGTAAAGATGATGATGACTATGATAGTGGTGGTAAAGATGACTATATGATGAATATCTATTTGCGAGCGAGCGAGGAAAAAAAAGATTAGTGAGGTCTCAGTGCGAAGAGTTACATCTTATATAGAAGAAAAACAATCCTGATGGGGTTATAAGCACTTTCTTATAATAGACTGAACAGACCTTTGATAAGTAACATAATAAAATCATTTATAAATGCGAGCGAGCGTGCCTCTTTTTGTATTAATAAGAGCCACATCCCCTTTTACCTCCAATAAATGACCCTATTCAAATCTGATCAAACTGTGCCCCTTTTCTTTCAACAAATGCACATTTTCCTGTACTGCAAGTGCCCCTTTTGATTTGATTTGATTTGATTTGATTTATTGGTTTCTGCATCTTTTTTCTTTTTTTCATCATACATTTTCATGAACATAATATGGCTTGATACAATATTTCAAGTGTATATAATTTTATACAGATAATAAACGATATTAAACAAATATATTGAATTTAAACAAATATATTGAATGCATAATTAACATACATTAGATGCAGGAGGGCTACAGAAATAAGCAAAGTAGCTTGACGTGCCGGCAGCCCTCAACTTAGATACAACAATACAAATAAAAATAAAAAAGAGTGACTTAAAGAAAAGGAAAGGGGAGAGAAGGGAGGAGGAGGAGCGTTGGTAATAATACACTAAATCTCATATATCTGCTGATTGAATGCAGGTTCATTCATGAATGGAAACACGATGCTAGGTCATGGACGATTACACGTCATTGTTGAATATACAGTCAATGTACACACGAACATGAATACAGTAGAATTACACACGACATGATCAATACTTAGACAATAACATAGTTTTAACTGCCTTCTTAAAAGAATACAATGTCCTAAGGTTTCTTATTACAATGGGCAGAGAGTTCCAGATGTCTGGGCCGGCGTGTCTAATGGATTTGAGAGCCAACGCGGTTTTTGGATTTCTTAAATGGAATTTTTCAGTTTGTCTTGTGGGGTAAGAGTGGATGGTTTTATTCAAATTGAACAATGGGGGAAAGTATGAAGGTAGTAGACCATTTTGTAAGCGAAACATGAAAAGTGCTATTTGTAGAAAATTTATATCATCAGCTTTTAGAGTTTTTAGTTTTGAAAACAAGCGATTGAAGTGGTCGCGATACGCATGGCTTTCTTTTGTAACAGTAAAATGGCGTCAACATTGCTTTTCGAATTTGCCCATATAATGTTACAATATGAAATATAAGGCAGTATCAATGAATTATATAACATAAATAAGATATTTGAAGGGACATAATATTTCAATTTACAGAGAATACCAATATTACGTGAAATAGTATTAGAAATATATTGCACATGATTATTCCATCTCAGATTTTCATTGATCAAAACACCAAGGAATTTCGTGCTATCCTTCTTTTCCAATAATTCACCATCCAAAGTAATTTCAATGTCAGGAATATCGTTATTTTTTCTGTTCTGAAAGTATATATAGTTTGTTTTCTTTAAATTAAGAGACAGTTTATTACTTCTAAACCATTTTGATAATTTTGGTAATTCAGCGTTAATATTTCTTAAAAGGATCTGAAAATCTGAATTGGAACAAAACGCATTGGTGTCATCAGCGAATTTAGTTTCATCCTCAGCACTACATCCTGACTTATGGATCCTGCTGAGTATCGTAGTAGAAGTAGAAGTAGAAGTAAAATATACTGTAGTGCATTTGATGAATTATAAATATCATTTACATATATCAGAAATAACAAAGGGCCGAGGATTAACCCTTGTGGCACTCCACACGTTATAGATAATAATTCTGATTCATTTGAATCATAACATACATATTGTTTTCTATTTGTTAAATAATTTTTAAACCATTGTATAGCAACACCCCTCAATCCATAGTATTCCAATTTACGTATAAGTATTGTATGGTCAAGAGTGTCAAATGCCTTGCTCAGATCCATGTATACTCCAATAACATGCTTATGATCAGCTAAGGCATGTGACGCTCTATCAAATAATTGTAACAAAGCTAACTCCGTTGAATGAAATTTTCTAAAACCATATTGATTTTCATACAACATGTCATTTTTGTTAGAAAATCATACAGTCTATTATAAGTCAGTCTTTCTAAGACTTTAGAAATACTTGGTGAGATAGAAACAGGTCGGTAATTTGAAACTAGAGAAGAGTCGTCTTTTTTGTATATTGGAATTACTTTTGCTATTTTCAGAGAGTCCGGAAATACTCCCGTTGTCAGTGATAAAATACAAATGTGTATTAGAGGCGTTACAATACTTCCTGCTATTTGTTTTAAAAAGTGCGTACTCATTTCATCATGACTACAAGAATAACTAATTTTCAATGAATTGACACTATTCAAAATTTCAACACAGTTTGTAGGCATAAAGAAAAACGATTTATCACATGGATTTGAAAGGAATTGTAAATAATCTTACATTCTCATAACTGCTCCTTCTCATATCTGGTCAGTGCCCCTTTCCATAATCGATAATTTCCCTTTTAACAATGATACGTGCCCCCTTTCCTTCTAATAAGGAACCTATCCCCTTTTCATAAATGCCCCTTGTCACCTCTTATACATGCCCCTAATAAAATCTGACGGGTGCCGCATTTCCATCGACAAATGCCAATTTACCATTCTAATAAGTGCCTTTTTCATCCGGTCTAGTGAGTGCCTGTTTTCAGGTATAAGCAGTGCCCCATTTTCACCTCTAATAGTTATCCTTTGTATTTTGACACGTACTCCTTTTGCCTTTCTAATAAGTGTATTATCCCTTTCGATAAATGTCCCCTTTTCCTCTCATCTTTAAATGTACCCCTAATTATTTTAAAGCCCCAAAGCTCGCCTGCTACACTCACTCGAATTCATAGATGATATAACTATGTTATTTGTTTTTTCTTCTTTATAAGATGTCATTTTTCGCACTTAAAATCATTTTGCTCGCTCGCAAATATACTATTTAGACCATTAAACCAAACTGCAAATAAAGAGAAACATAATTGAAAGCATCCCGGATAATGTTAATCACATTATAAATGCACTTCCACTCTTACACGCACATGCACGCACCAAACACATAGTATTCATTTATACTGGTCGCAATACCACATTTGTAATCTTAATGGCTTTAAATGATATTCTGAATGATCAAGTTTATACACCCCAGAGTAAATATTATACTACTAGTGAATTTAATTCAAATTTTAATTCAACGGGACCCAATAATAACCTTCACTGTTTTAGTTTATTAAACATCAATATTCGAAGCTTACAAAAGAATTTCGATAATTTTGAAGAATTTTTATCTATCCTAAACACATTTTCATTTTCTTTGATAGGACTTACCGAAACCTGGTTACACTCAACTTCTCCTCCAATATTCAACATTGAGAATTATGAATTTATTCATTCAGACCGTAAAAACGGAAAGGGGGGAGGTGTCGCTTTTTATTCTCGTAATGATGTACAATTTAAAATAAGACATGATATTCAACTGGAAGGAATAGAAACATTATTTTTAGAAATTATTGATGATAAACATAAGAATAGAATCGTTGGGGTAATGTACAGACCACCTAACAATGTAGCCGACACATTTTTTGATGAATTAGAATCATGCCTTGAATTTATTTCTAGAGAAAATAAAGATGTATATATTATGGGAGACTTTAATATCGATATATCCTTACCTTTTACCGTTCTTGGCCAACACTTCACTAATTTATTATCTTCATTTTTTGTTAAACCTCTCATTAATAAACCAACTAGGATTACAAACTTAACACATACTATAATTGATAATATTTTCTCAAACGTATTAGATAATAAACAGAATGGAATAATATATTATGATATTTCAGACCATTTACCAATATTTACGATAGGTCCTAATGATAAACACCTACACATTCCCAATAAAGAACATACAACACGACGTAAAGAAACCAAACGTAATATTGAATCCTTAAAGATAGACTTGAGTCAAGAAGATTGGTATGATATTTATTTTGAAAGAGATGTGAACAGTTCATATGAAAAATTTATAAACAAACTTCTTTGTCATTATAATAAAAATGTGCCCCTCTCAAGAATTAAGTCAAATAAAAAGAAAAATAAACGACCATGGATTACTCAAGGTATACTTAAATCAATATCTACCCGAATTC